AGGTCTACAATCTTGTCCCTGACATCCTTGGAGAGCTCTTTGGTCTTGGCCATGGTGGAGAGTTTGGAATCTGATTGATTGATTGCTTCTGTGAACAGGTGTCTTTTATACAGGTAACAAACTGAGATTAGGAACACTCCCTTTAAGAGTGTGCTCCTAATCTCAGCTCGTTACATGTATAAAAGACACCTGGGAGCCAGAAATCTTTCTGATTGAGAGGGGGTCAAATACTTATTTCCCTCATTAAAATGCAAATCAATTGATAACATTTTTGAAATGCGTTTTCTGGATTTTTGTTGTTGTTATTCTGTCTCTCACTGTTCAAATAAACCTACCATTAAAATTATAGACTGATCATTTCTTTGTCAGTGGGCAAACGTACAAAATCAGCAGGGGAACAAATACTTTTTCCCCCTCACTGTATGTTTTTGCTGTTATTGAGGACACTGCAGTACAAGCATTCCTTGACACAGGCTCAGAAATATGTCAATCCGCTCACTTAGAAAGAAACCACTCCACAAATCCTGTGTTAGTAAAGTCAGTGACTGGCGAGTGTCTTGATACCCTGGGTACCCTCTCCATTGCTGTTAGAATAGGAGAAGAGATGTTCACCCATAATGTACAAGTAGTCAGAAACTCTAGTCAGTAATTTATTCTAGGCTGGGACCTTTTGCTCACACACCACGCTGTCATAGATCTGAGAGAGGAACAGTTACGGCTGTGCTATTGGGCTGTGCCCTTGCTGTGTTCTAGCCCCACTCAGATGCAATGCTGTTACTTTAGTTCCCCTGTGCATCCCCGCCATGTCCTAGATTAACATTTTAGCTAAAGTAGGACCCCAACTGAGCATCAGTCAATGTCCTCCAACTGCATAGGGCTACTTGAACCTGACCTTATCAACTTCCCAGATCTGTACGTGGCACGTACTATGTCCCCAGTCAAGAAAAGTGTCATATTAATCCGTGTAATGAACCCCACCAATGATGACTGTCATGTCCCAAGTGACACCTTGCTAGGAGAGTTCCATTCTCTTGTCAGTCAGGGAGGTGAGGAATACACTGTAGTTGAGACCATCATGAACAATGTGCAGGCACAACCACAGGCTCTCCCAAAACTTGACCTTCAGCACTCACCAGTGGACAGTGAGCAGCGCCAGCAGCTGGAGAACATGGTGCACAAATACTCTGATGTCTTCAGTGCTCATGATCTGGACTATGGACACACAGATCTCGTCAAACACACTATCAACACAGGAGACTCCCTACCCATCCGCCAGCGTGCATACAGGACTTCGCCCAAGGTGAGAAAAGAGCTGGACAGGCAAGTTGAAAAGCTATTAGTTCAGGACCTTATTGAGGAGGGCAACAGCCCGTGGGCTTCTCCTGTTGTGCTAGTGAAAAAGAAAATGGCAGTTACAGATTTTACCTTGATTTCAGGAAGCTGAATGCAGTGACAGTGCGAGACTCATATCTCCTGCCGCGGAAATCAGATGCTTTGGACAGCTTATCAGGTGCGTGCTGGTTCAGTACAATGGACATATCTAGTGGTTACTGGCAAGTTGAACTAGCTGAGGAAGACAGAGAGAAAACTGCCTTTACGACTGGCAGTTCCTTGTACCATTTTAAGATCATGCTGATGTGCCTCAAAAATGCTCCTCCTACTTTTCATAGATGAATGGAGCTTGTACTCAGTGGCCTACATTGGAAAGTTTGTCATATCTACCTTGATGATGTGTTGGTTTTCAACAGGACCTTCATGGAACACCTACAGACTCTCAAAGAAGTGTTCATCCGGTTCCAAAAGGCTGGACAAGCAAGTGTCATCTTGCTCACACCCAAGTCACGTTCCTTGGACATGTCATATCCAAGGATAGCCTGCATCCTGACTCGAAGAACCTGGACAAGGTCAGAGACTGACCCACACCCAGAACACCTACTGAAATGCTCTCACTAACCCCCCATTGTGGCACATCCAGCGTTCACAGAGACATTCCTACTGTACACCGACACATCACAAGCTGCCGTTGGGGCAGTGCTTGCACAACACCAAGACAACCGGGAGTGTGTCATAGCATACGCCAGTCACACCCTCTCATCATCAGAAAGAAAGTGGGCCACCTATGACCGTGAGTTATGGGCTGTTGTTTGGGCTGTCAGAAATGCTAAGCATTTCTTGTCTGGCAGTTCATTCACAGTTATAACAGACCGCAAGCCTTTACTCAGCCTCAAGAAATGTCCAGTGGATAGTGACCCCACGGGAAGGAGAGGACATTGGATCTTGACCTTTGGATGTGTATGACTATGTCATGGTACAAAGGGAAGGAAAACAGCATGCAAACGCAGAAGCCATTTCACAGAGACCTGAACACACACAAATCAGCAAAGAGGTACAGTGTTTAATCACCCACCTCAGTCCTGGGTCTGAGCATCCGCCTCCTTGTCATTGCATCTTTGAATATTACATACGCCAGCATGGAATTTTTTAGTCCATACATATTGATCAAGGCCGACAATTCAAGTCAGACCTCGTAAAACAATTATGCAAAGTACTGGGCATTGAAAAAACACGCACATCCCCATATCATGCTCAGTGCGATGGCATGGTAGAGTACCATGCAAAGTACATTAGTACCTTGCAAAGTACATTAGTCAGTACGGTGGGGAATGGGACAAGTATATCCCTCAGGTGGAGCTGGCCTACAATTCAAGTGTGCACACGAGTACAGGCTCTAAATGTGCTCAAAATCCCCCCTTCCCTAATTAGCCTACTATTTAATACAATATACAGCCAAAATATTAGGCCTAACTGGCAGCAGTAGGTTACATGATCTGTGTCAGTGTGCGTGAGTGTGTCTCTCTGTTTTCTTCCTACCTCGACTGCACCACTGTCCTCTCCAGCACTCAGACCAGCAGAACCAGAACTTTTAGTAAATAAGTTGGTTAATTTCAGATGTTTAGCAACGTCGGCCTCAAGAGCCCCTTTTTTGGTCTCTCTAACATTTTCGACACCATCTAACAGATTTTTATCATCCATGATATTCTGTTCTGACAGAGAGTTGGTCTCACTCTCTCTGATGATGCGCTTTTGACTTTGAATGTGAATTTGCGCCACCTCAGCTCAGCCAATCAGAAAACTGGGCCAGCTCATCTTGGTAGGGAGGCCAGCCATTACTCACTGGTCAGCCAAATGCTCAATATAGATTATTATGACAACAGAGAAATGGGTCGCTGGCCATGTCATTTTTAAAATATATAAATCAAATCAATTTTTATTTGTCACATCTGCCGAATAGGAGAATGCCAAGAGTGTGCAAAGCTGTCATCAAGGCAAAGGGTGGCTACTTTGAAGAATCTAAAATCTGAAATATATTACGATTTGTTTAACACTTTTTTGGTTACTACATGATTTTATATGTGTTATTTCATAGTTTTGATGTCTTTACTATTATTCTACAATGTAGAGAATATTAAAATAAAGAAAAACCCTTGAATGAGTAGGTGTGTCCAAACTTTTGATTGGTACTGTAGGTGTTCCTTTTGTCCAGGTGGGAAAGGGCAGTGTGGAGCGCGATTGAGATTGCGTCATCTGTGGATCTGTTGGGGTGGTATGCGAATTGGAGTGGGTCTAGGGTGTCCGGGATGATGATGTTGATGTGAGACATGACCGGCCTTTCAAAGCTCTTCATGGCTACCGACGTGAGTGCTACGGGGCGGTAGTCATTTAGGTAGGTTACCTTCGCTTTCTTGGGCACAGGGACTATGGTGGTCTGCTTGAAACATGTAGGTATTACAGATTCGGTCAGGGAGAGGTTGAAAATGTCAGTGAAGACACTTGCCACTTGGTCTGTGCAAGCTCTGAGTACACGTCCTGGTATTCCGTCTGGCCCTGCGGCCTTGTGAATGTTGACCTGTTTAAAGGTCTTGCTCACATCGGCTACGGAGAGCGTGATCACACAGTCGTCTGGAACAGCTGGTGCTCTCATGCATGCTTCATTGTTGCTTGCCTCGAAGCGAGCATAAAAGGCATTTAGCCCGTCTGGTAGGCTCGCGTCACTAGGCAGCTCGCGGCTGGGTTTCCTTTTGTAGTCCGTAATAGTTTGCAAGCCCTGCCACATCCGACGAGCGCCAGAGCCGGTGTAGTAGGATTCGATCTTAGTCCTGTATTGACGCTTTGCATGTATGATGGTTCGTATGAGGAAATAGCGGGATTTCTTATAAGTGTCCGGATTAGTGTGACGCTCCTTGAACCCGGCAGCTCTAGCCTTTAGCTCGGTGTTAATTTCAACCAGCCCACCCCAATAATAAAGATGGTCTGGCCCATCTGGCATTTGTCAGAATTGCCAGACGGCCAATCCGACCATGACTGCAGGTATTTATTTAAAAATAATAAATGTTTAATGGTATTTTTAAAAAAAATGTATTTGAAAATCATACCGAGGGTATTTCTAAATACCCCGGGCTACGGTATACTGCCCAACCTTAGCCTACATACTGTAATTCTATTTCTATGGACTGCAACAGTATTACATGGCCAACCTTTGCACAAGTACTGTATGATTAGGATTTTGAAGTACCTCACTTCTCTTCAATCCCTTGTATTCTTAATGTGTGAATTGCAGTAGCATCGTTATGTTCAGGAGAAGCATACTGTCACTTTTACTGACGTTCTCATTTGTTTAACAGTATGTAGAACAGATTATCTGTAGTGTAAATGTACTCCTCCAGGGATTTGAATAAAGAAAGATATGAGTGTCAAACGTAGGTTAATGATTGACAGCAGATAGCCTGCCCACTTCTGTCTTGAACACTATAAGTGTTGTCTCCATCTGAGTATGAGAAACAGATCGGCTATAGACATAACACAGTACTGCTTAAGGGAACTGCTGTCGACAGTGAAAGTCGATCTGGGAAAATCTTGGACACTCATCAAAAAAAAGCTTGTTTTTCCACTCGTGAAAAAGACATTTGGAACTAAAATGTACCACATTAATTGAGTTTGAGATGTGTCAACATTTCAAGAACCTCTCCAACAACTTGCGGCTGCTGGAGATCATACTGTGCGTGTTAGCCTTGGTCATCCCTATTTTCAGGGGTAGGATGGTGAACCCGTATGGCATCTACTGCGAGTTTGTCTGGGTCTTCTGTATCATTGTGGCCGTGGTCCTTCTGGTGTTTGAGATCATGCTTTTGCATATCCTCCTCGCTGCCTGCCTGCCCAACTGGGACGACCTGGTTTGCGGTCTGACCATGCTGTGCACGCTCATGGTCGCCGCCGCCACGCTCATCTTCGCCATCAAATTTGCTTGTTTGTCCTGCGTCAGCAGTATTTTCTGCGTCATCTTCTCATTGGCCGCTACTGTGGTTTTCCTGATCGACAGTGTCATAAGGAAAATGAAGTGTCCGGAGGGCTATCTGTCCAGTCTCAGGGGGGTCCTCCGCTTCACAGAGGCCGTCCTGGCTTGTATCATCCTGGCCGGCGCCACCAACTACTTCCTGGGCGTGGAGAGTGTCTTCCGTCCGCCCGCCATGTTTTTGTGCATCGTGGTCTATATAGTTTGCCTCCCTGTCACAGTGCTCATCATACTCATCCATCTGATCAAGCTACTTGAATGCCTCATCTCATGTATTGGGATGAAGCTGTTGGAGTTGGTGTTCAATGTACTGGCTGTGGTGTTTTACCTGTCTGCTGTCGTCCTCTGGCCCCTCTTTGGTTACAGGCACTACCGTAACTACAATCCGCCTAACTGTGACTACTGTCACCATGATGACCTGGATGTGGTAATTGTGGGGACCATTGGCAATCTCAGCCTATACGTTGTGGACTTGGTTTTTAGCGTCTTGGCTCGAATTAAATCCTAATATCTCAAGTCTTACTAAGTTATCAGCTGTGTACAAGTCTATTTGAAGAACAACATACAATTCACAATATACATTTTCAAAAAGATGGAAAGAGCACATGTATAAATGTTGCTTCCTACTAACAAATACCATTAAATAAATCAACAAAATGCAAGAATACGGCCTTCTTGTCTTTTTATGTCTTCACATTTAAAATCCACAAAGGTACACTTGATGTCATTGAGTTGTTTATGCATTCAAGAAATTATAGATGTGGACCATGCTTAATTATTTCAGCAGCCTAATAGCGGATGGTATCCAGATAGGCCTGCTATTGGCCTATTATCAGCTATTACAAACTGTATGCGACTGAAATAAAAATAATTGGCTTAGCGAATCTAAATATGTGTGCTGCTGTCATCTTCTACAAATAAACATGTTCCAGTATTCCAGTATACCCATACACAAAAATGGATGCACACATGACTGTAAGTCGCTTTGGATAAAAGCGTCTGCTAAATGGCATATTATTATTATTATATTATTATACCAGCACCAGCAACTTGGCTTAACTAATTATTGAGTGATAGTTCTGCTGTTTGAACTGTTTTTTTTTTTAAATGAGCATTGTGACTGCAATTAAAAAAGCACCCTCGATCTCCTGTAAGCAGTTTGTTGAACCACAGTGTAGCAACATGCAAGCTCAATTTCATAGATAACAAAGTATGTAGGTGTACATAACTGGTCACTTTATTTTACATTTGCTTAGAAATACATGGCTTGCATATAAAATGAGTGCAATATGCTACTGTCCAAAATCAATGCAAATGATCTATTGCCTGCTAACAATACAACGTTTTTTTACGGGTAAATTCAAATTGTGAGATATAAACTTTCAACTGAATTTCACCAACCATGGAAGAACAATTCGATAGTCAATGCAAATGCTTTAACAAAGAGACCATGCTGCTTCACACAACTCTGCTCTTGACTGAACTACTGTATCGCAGTGAAAAGTTATTGTTGTACAATGAGACATTGCATTATTTTTCTCACTTTGAGTTGATAAAAAAAATATTATCCTTATCCTCCTTACTCCTATCCCCTACTCCGCCCCCTTTGTGTCTTGAATAACAATGTCCCGTAGTGTTTGATTTCAATTAAATTCTCAATCATCCTCTGGTTCTTCAAATTCCACTGTCTCCAGTAGGCCCTGGAAGCAGAAGTAGTGGGAATTGCAGTATACAGGTGGTTTGTCAGGAGTGGCCTGGACCTGCTCTGGTTTCTGGGAGGCAAAGGGGTTGACTCTACTGCTTTTTAAATCCATCTCCAACGCCGAGAGGACCTGCAGGGAATAGGTAATCTATGTCTTCCTGTGGGGATCAGGCAGGGTCAACAATTACACACTAAATACTATGTAGTAGACAAGTGAGCTCCCCCTGCACACACACACATATACTGATGAAGATAAGGGGGCAATCTGGGATATTGATGGAGTATGTGGGGAATGTTCAAAACCTAAATTAGATACCTTAGGTAGGAGGTATTAGCATAAAGATTAAACATTTGGCACCTTCGTGTGTGTGTGTGCATGTTAGTAGATACAGTGCCTTCAGAAAGTATTCACACCCCTTGACTTTTTCCACATTTTGTTGTGTAACAGTCTGAATTTAAAATGGATACAATTTAGATTTTGTTTCACTGATCTACACACAATACCCCATTATGTCAAAGTGGAATTTTGTTTTTAGAATCTTTTACAAATTAATACAAAATTAAAGCTGAAATGTCTTTAGGCAATAAGTATTCAACCCCTTTGTTATGGCAAGCCTAAATAAGTTCAGGACTATAATTTTGCTTAGCAGATCACCAGTGGTGGAAAAAGTACCCAATTGTCATACTTGAGTAAAAGTAAAGATACCTTAATAGAAAACGACAAGTAAAAGTGAAAGTCACCCAGTAAAATACTACGTGAGTAAAAGTCTAAAAGTATTTGGTTCTAAATATACTTAAGTATCAAAAGCAAATGTAATTGCTAAAATATACTTAAGTATCAAAAGTAAAAGTACAAATCATTTCCAATTCCTTATATTAAGAAAACCAGATGGCACTATTTTCTTGTTTTTTAAGTTTACGGATAGCCAGGGGCACACTCCAACACTAAGACATAATTTACAAACGAAGCATGTGTGTTTAGTGAGTCCACCAGATCATCAGTAGGGATGACCAGGGATATTCTCTTGATAAGTTTGTGAATTGGACAATTTTCCTGTCCTGCTAAGCATTCAAAATGTAACAAGTATTTTGGGTGTCAGGGAAAATGTATGGAGTAAAAAGTACAATAGTGTTTTAAGGAATATAATGAAGTAAACGTAAAAGTACATATACCCCAAAAAACTACTTATGTAGTACTTTAAAGTATGATTACTGAAGTACTTTACACCACGGCAGATCACATAATGCATGGATTCACTCTGTGTGCAATAATAGTGGTTAACATGATCTTTAAATTACTACTAAGATTGTACCCCCACAGATACAATTATCTGAAAGGTCCCTCAGTCGAGTAGTGAATTTCAAGCACAGATTCAACCAAAAAGACCAGGGTGGTTTTCAAATGCCTCGCAAAGAAGGCACTGATTGGTAGATGGGTAAAAATAAATGAAAGTAGAGACTGAATATCCCTTTTTGCATGGTAAAGTTATTAATTATGCTTTGGGTGGTGTGTCAAAAGAAATGGGGCAAAGGAGCTTTTTGTCCTGAATACAAAGTGTAATGTATTGGGAAAATCCAACACAACACATGACTGAGTACCACTCTTCATATTCTAAAGCATGGTGATGGCTGCATCATGTTATGGGTATGCTTGTCATCGGCAAGGACTGGGGAGTTTTTCAGGATAAAAATAAACAGAATTGAGCTAAGCACAGGCAAAATCCTAGAGGAAAACCTGGTCCAGTCTGTTTTCCAACAGACACTGGGAAACAAATGCACCTTTCAGCAGGACAATAATCTAAAACACAAGGCCAAATCTACACTGGAGTTGATTACCAAGACGACATTGAATGTTCCTAAATGGCCTGGTTACAGTTTTGACTTAAATCTGCTTGAAAATCTAGGGCAAGACTTGGAAATGGCTGTCTGGCAATGATCAAGAACCAACTTGACAGAGCTTTAAGAATTTAAAGAAAGAATTATGGACAAATATTGCACAAGGTGTGCAAAGCCCTTAGAGACTTACCCAAAAAGACTACCTGCTGTAAATGCTGCCAAAGGTGTTTCTAAAATGTATTTACTCAGGGGGGTGAATACTTATCAAATTAAGATATATTAGTTTGAGATTTGTCGTTAATTCTTAAAAAATGATAATTTTTTTCTTACACTCTGACATTACGGAGTATTTGGTGTAGATCGTGGACAAAAAAATGACAATTCAATCCATTTTAATACCACTTTGTAACACAACAAAATGTGGAAAATGTTAGGAGGTCCGCTGTCTCACTGGCAGACGGTAATTTTGGTAATGCTATATAGTGAACAGATTTAGAGAATATGTCCACAATGGTAAGTATAGTATCATTACCTTCAGACTTGGGTAGGCCGGTGACAAAATCCATGGCTATGTGGGACCAGGGACGGCTGGGAACTGGGAGGGGTAGCAGCAGCCCCGAAGGGGACTGATGGGAGGCTTTGCCCCGAGCACAGGTTGAACAGGCTGCCACAAAAGCCCGAACGTCAGTTTCCATTGAAGGCCACCAAAAATGTCTCTTAAGCAGCGTCAACGTGCGTCTCATCCCAGGGTGACCAGCAAAACGGGAGGTGTGAATCCACTGCAACACCTGAGACCGGACCGTCTCGGGAACAAAGAGTAGGTTGGGAGGTCCATCACCCGGTCCCGGGTCCGTGGCAAGTGCAGTCTTCACAAGAGACTCGATCTCCCACTGTACTGCCGCCACGACGCATGAGGAAGGTAGGACTGCCTCAGGCTCGCTGGTCTCCGAAGGGTCAGCAAACTGGCGGGACAAAGCATCTGGTTTAACATTTCTTGACCCCGGTCTGTATGTTAGAATAAAGTTAAACCTACTAAAAAACAGGGCCCATCTGGCTTGGCGTGAGTTGAGTCTCTTAGTGGCTTGGATGTAAGCCAAGTTTTTGTGGTCTGTCCAGACCACAAACGGCAGTTCAGCTCCATCCAGCCAGTGCCGCCATTCTTCCAGTGCTAGCTTGACCGCCAGCAGTTCCCGGTTTCCAACGTCGTAATTCCGTTCTGGGGGTGACAATTTCTTGGAGAAAAAAGCACAGGGGTGAAGCTTTTGGTCAGTGGGGGAGCGCTGGGAGAGGACTGCTCCCACACCTGAGTCCGACGCGTCCACCTCCACAATAAACTGCAGAGAGGTATTGGGGTGTATCAACACGGGGGAGGTGGAAAACAGTTCCTTCAAAACCCCTACCGCCTGCTCCGCCTCAGGGGACCACAGAAAAGGGACTTTTGGGGATGTGAGTCTAGTAAGGGGTGCCACCACTTTACTAAAACCCTTAATGAATCTACGGTAGAAGTTAGCAAAGCCCAAAAATCGTTGAAGTTGCTTACGGGTGGTGGGTGTGGGCCATTCCGTCACTGCCCGGATCTTCTCGGGGTCCGCCTTCACCTGCCCGCTCTCAATGAGGAAACCAAGGAACGATGTAGACTGTTTGTGGAACTCACACTTTTCTGCTTTGACGTACAGCTTATTCTCCAAGAGCCGTTGGACTCATGCTCCTCGGGTGACTTGGAAAAAACAAAAATATCATCCAGGTATACAAAGACAAAACGGTTCAAAAAATCCCTAAGAACATCGTTCACCATGGCTTGGAATACAGCAGGGGCGTTTGAGAGCCCAAAAGGCATGACCAAATACTCAAAATGCCCCAGTGGAGTGTTGAAAGCGGTTTTCCACTCATCTCCCTTTCGGATTCTGACAAGGTGATAAGCGTGCCTGAGGTCGAGCTTGGAGAAAACTGTGGCGCCATGCAGAGGTTCAAAAGCTGAGTTGATGAGTGGAAGGGGATACTTGTTTTTAACAGTTATGTTGTTTAAACCCCTGAAATCGATACAGGGGCGTAACGACTTGTCTTTCTTTTCAACGAAAAAGAAACCTGCACCCAAAGGAGACGACGAGGGACGGATTATGCCCGAGGCCAGAGAATCACCAATATACTGCTCCATTGCCTCTCTTTCCGGTCGGGACAGATTGTATAAGCGACTAGAGGGCAAGGGAGCACCAGGAAGCAGTTCAATAGGGCAATCATAAGGCCTATGTGGTGGTAGAGACAGAGCCTTGTCCTTACTGAAAACCTCAGCTAAGTCATGGTATTCTTTGGGGACAGATGACAGATTGGGAGGAGCTGAGGGATGAGTTGGGTTACACTTAGTGGGGGGAACCGCTGACCTAAGGCACTCTGAATGGCAGTTAGTGCTCCAACTGAGAATGGTGTGACGTGTCCAATCAATTTGTGGGTTGTGAAGAGCCAACCAGGGGAAGCCAAGGATTAGGGGGGTAGCTGAGCCAGACATAACTCTTAACTGAATGCTTTCACAATGATTGCCAGAAATCACTAGGGAAACGGGGGTGGTTTGATGAGTTATCTCCGCGAGGAGGCGCCCATCAAGGGCTGTGACTCGAATGGGGGTAGGTAGTGGCTCCACGGGGATACGAGCTTGTGTAATGAACTGGTGGCTAATAAAGTTGTCTTCTGCACCTGAGTCTATGAGAGCTGAGAGTCGGAGGGAATGACTCTGTAAACGTAAGGTTACAGGTACTTGTAATCGGGGAATGATGGGTTCAGGATCTAACTCTGGGCTCGCAAGTAGACCCACCGTTACGAGCGAGCCTTGTCTTTTGGTCGCTTAGGGCATGTAGCCAGAATGTGTGTGGCGTCTCCACAGTACAGGCACTCACCCGCCTGGAGGCGCCGTTGCCGCTCTGCTGGAGGTAGTCGAGCTCGACCCACTTGCATTGGTTCCTCCTCTGTGCTCGGGATGGGATCAGGAACAAGAAGCTGCCGGCTCCGGGGAGGCGAGACTCGAGTGGTTGAAGGCTGGGGAACTCGTCCTCCTAGATGTGGCCGACCGCCTCTCTCCCGACGCCTCTCCCGCAACCGGTTGTCTAGCTTCATGGACAGGGAAACGAGAGAATGTAAATCATGTGGCTCGTCACGAGCAGCCAGTTCATCCTTAATGGCTTCATTCAAACCGTTTAGAAATGCTCCTTGAAGTGCCACATTGTTCCACTTGGAGTCCGCTGCCAAAGTCCAGAACTCAATAGAGTACTCAGCCACACTGTTAGAACCCTGCCTCAAATTAAAAAGTCTCTTGGAGGAATTACCCACATGGTCAGGATGGTCAAAAACAGTCTTCAATTTAGCAGAAAAATCAGCAAAAGTCAATCCAGTCAAAGTTTGATTTGAGCACACAGCCTCAGCCCAAACCAGAGCTCTCCCTCTTAACAGCCCCAGAACATAATGTACCTTAGAGGAATCAGTAGAAAACGACAGTGGTCTCTGCCGAAAATTCAAGTCACACTGAAGCAAAAATCCCCGGCACTTGTCCAATTCTCCATTGAACGGTTCAGGCGACGTGACCGGGGGTTCCCGATGGAACGAAGCCTGCATAATGTCAGAGGAAACAACTTGGGGTGCATCAAACTGGGGATCAGAGAGAGATGTAGAACTGATAACAGACAATTTAGAGACTTGTGTTGTTGACTGAGTCACCTGGTTCAGCAGTTGATGATTATTTTTCAAAAGAGTCCGAATCAATTGGTCATGCTGTCCTAGCAACGTTCCTTGAGCCTGGATAGCTTGTTGGAAGCTGTCTTTGTTTGCCCCGTGCTGTTTCTCTGTTGGGTCCATGGCCAGATCGTTCTGTTACGCTATGGTTAAACCCAGCACTCAGAGAAACAAAACACGACTAAGGGAGTGGAAGAAACAAAAATTATTTTAATAAAAGTTCAATTTGTCTTAGTCCAAAAACAACTGAAGAAAAGGAACAGAGTGGGCTAGTCGGCTCCGGAGGAAAGAGAGGCTGAGGCAGGCAGGCAGGCAGGCAGGCAGGCAGGCAGGCAGGCAGGCAGGCAGGCAGGAAGGCAGGAAGGCAGGAAGGCAGGCAGGCAGGTTGGGAGGTATGTCTGAACTGAAGACAAAACAAACGACAGGTTAAGGAGAGTAAAGAGCCAGGCTGAAGACAAAGACAATTTAACTCTACTGGTGAGCCAAGTTACCGCTCTAGTAAGAACAACGATCTGGCGCCGGTGGAGAGCCATGCCCAGGAATTAGTAGTGCAGGTTGATGAGAGAATAGGATGCAGCTGCGTAGGCAGGAATCACTGGAAACAACCCGCAGCTGCACAGGAGAGGCAGATCCTGAGCACGCCCCCCGATCCACTCCAGACACACACCGGCAGACGCACCAACATAATGTGGACAAACACACATACAGATACAACAGACAAAGAGGGGACAAAACAAGGAGGAAGGGAAACAGAAAAGGGAGAGACAAGCTGCCCACATAACAGAAAAAGTCAAAGGGTGTGAATACTTTCCGAAGGCACTAGCTAGCTACATTATACAATGCAACATGGTATTAAGCCAAAAAACTGAGTATTGTTAAAGTGCTAATCTGTTAAAGATGGAGAATGTTATATGCTATAGCAGGAAATATGGACGGTAAGATGAGGGTTATGTGGTGCTTACTCTAGTGCAGTAAACAGGGAAGGGATCTTGTAGTCCCTAAGGAGCAGCAGTGTTGGTAGCCAACCCTGATCCTGGCCTTGACTGGCATCAAACCCTATAGGAGACAGAGGAAGTCAAACAGAACTTAGCTCAGACAAAAACAGCTCAACCAGGGAAGCTCACAGTTACTATGCAAAGCTTCAACCTCAAAACCACCAAGTTGACAACCAGGAAAAGCCCTTATCTGTTTCTTGTCCATTCGTTTGAGATACAGTAATTGGAGTTTTAGCCAACACAAAATATGCTAGTCAATTCCATTTTCTTGAGTTTGGAAATTGGAAAAGCAGGACATTTGTCACGCCCTGGCTCTGGGACTCTTATGTTGAGCCAGGGTGTGTTGTTTCTATGTGTTTTGTGTTCTAGGTTTTTTATCTAGTTCATTTGTTTCTACGTTGGCCGGTGTGGTTCTCAATCAGAGGCAACGTGTATCAGCTGTTGCTTGTTGTCTCTGATTGGGAACCATACTTAGGCAGCCTGTTTTCCACAGTGTGTTGTGGGATCTTGTTCCGTGTATGGTTTGTGTCTGTTACTAAGGACTTCACGTATCGTTTTGTTGTTTTGTTCGTTCGTGGTGAATTAATAAATAAGTATGTTCACTCATCACGCTGCGCATTGGTCCACTGTATTCGACGATCGTGACAGAAGATCCCACCATAACTGGACCAAGCAGCGTGTCCAGGAGCCAACGCCAGAGAGGACTTGGGAGCAGAAGAGGGAGAGTCTGGCGAGAGCCATAGAGGCCATAGCCACGGGGGAGAGACGAACCCAATACATTTTTAGGGGGGGGCTCACACCATGGACGACGGGACTGCTGGAGGCAGATAAGGGGCGAGTTGGTGGACGAGGAGAGAAGGCCACCGGGTTACGGGAGCCATTGGCGAGTAGAGGGAAGGAATATGTAGAGGCACGGCGAGAGGTACTGAGGTGTGTAGCCAGTCCGGTCCGGCCCGTTCCTGATCCCCATGTAAGGCCAGTGGTGTGTGTTCCCAGCCCGGCCCGGCCTGTTCCTGCTCCCCGCACCAAGCCAAGGGTGCGCGTCACCAGCTCGGCCCGGCCTGTTCCATGCCACTCGCACCAAGCCTACGGTGCGCGTCGCCAGCCCGGCTCGGCCTGTTCCTGCTCCCCGCACCAAGCCTGTGGGGCGCATCGCCAGCCCGGCCCGGCCTGTTCCTGCTCCCCGCACCAAGCCAAGGGTGCGCGTCACCAGCTCGGCCCGGCCTGTTCCTGCCACTCGCACCAAGCCTACGGTGCGCGTCGCCAGCACGGCTCGGCCTGTTCCTGCTCCCCGCACCAAGCCTGTGGGGCGCATCGCCAGCCCGGCCCGGCCTGTTCCTGCTCCCCGCACCAAGCCTAGGATGCGCGTCGCCAGCCCGGCTCGGCCTGTTCCTGCTCCCCGCACCAAGCCTGTGGTGCGCATCGTCAGCCCAGTCTGGCCCGTCCCTGCTCCCCGCACCAAGCCTGTGGTGCGCTTCGTCAGCCCGGTTCGGCCCGTCCCTGCTCCCCGCACCAAGCCTGTGGTGCGCGTCGTCAGTCCGGCACAGCCCGTGCCTGGGTCACCGGTGCCTGGTCAGGTATCGGTTAGCTGCTCCACATCGGAGCCTGAGAGATCCGCTCCACCGATGTCCAGTCCAGATCCAGCCAGCAGGGCCAGACCGGACCAGGGGCGCTATGGGGGGTTTGTTGGAGGGTGGGGGTCAAGCCCGGAGCCGGAACCGCCTCCGAGGAGGAATGCCCACCCGGCCCTTCCGTGTTCGGTTTATGTTTGGCGCGGTCGCAGTCCGCGCCTTTGGGGGGGGGGGGGGGGGGTACTGTCACGCCCTGGCTCTGGGACTCTGTTATGTTGAGCCAGGGTGTGTTGTTTCTATGTGTTTTGTGTTCTAGGTTTTTTATCTAGTTCATTTGTTTCTACGTTGGCCGGTGTGGTTCTCAATCAGAGGCAACGTGTATCAGCTGTTGCTTGTTGTCTCTGATTGGGAACCATACTTAGGCAGCCTGTTTTCCACAGTGTGTTGTGGGATCTTGTTCCGTGTATGGTTTGTGTCTGTTACTAAGGACTTCACGTATCGTTTTGTTGTTTTGTTCGTTCGTGGTGAATTAATAAATAAGTATGTTCACTCATCACGCTGCGCATTGGTCCACTGTATTCGACGATCGTGACAACATTGCACAACGGCAGAGCTTCTTACCTGGGTGAAATCCAACCACCAGATCTGGCTTAGCTGCTTTCTCGGTCTCTACAAGCTCCTCAAATAACTGGTGGTAGAGGCCCTTGCAGGCACTGATGTAGGTATTCATCCTGGGGCAAAAGTTTGTCAGAGGGGGCCTCATGATGGGCCCATCCACCACCTCTGGCCCCACCATCACCAACTCAATACCCCGGTGTCCAGGGTGCATTTGGTTCAGCTCATCATAGTCCGTCAGTCGGGCTCCCTGGGTCTTACTGTCAGAAACCCCTATCAAGTGGATGGTGAGGTGTTTAGGCCAAACAGTCTAAACCCTAGGGCAATAGTCATCGGTCGGGAGAAGTACTTGCTCGATACCTGCCAAATCAACTTTCTCAGGTCATCATCCTGGCTTGGGCCTGCCGGCGTTGGTCCAAAGGTCTGTCATATTAGTGCCAGACAAGATGGCGTCCAGATGGGGGGTGAGGTCCCCTTGCATTGCAAGCCAGTCATCCCAGCCCTTCACCTTCCCTTGTGGCCGGGTCCACTTCTTTGTAAGGAATGGGAGGTCTCTTGATTGGGTAAGAGGAAGGGGGAGTATGAAATCAGTTTAGGCCTGCTAAGTTGGTGCTATCCTCCTGGTGTTATCTCTATTTATTTATTTTAATACATTGTTCAGAAAATATCATAGAAAAAGAATTGGTCCTAGAATCGAACCGTGTGGAACACCTTTTTAATACATTTTTTAAAAAATTATCTCAGATCATCTGTCTGTACAATAAGGTGGTGCTTCATCATGACAAATAAGAGAGGAAGATTGCTCTTCTTTGTGTCGAATATAGGACCCTCAGTGCACATTGTTCATCTAAATCACGACAAACATGCAGCAATTGGCCCAATGTCATGACTCGTTCCTCTTCCAACTGCCTTCTCTTTCTCTCACCTTTGAACATGAGCCATTCCACCAGTCGGTCAATGGCTACTAAATGCAACTCTGAGCAGACCTTCTTGTGCTGAGGCCAATCAGCCTTCTGACACTGTAATGCAGTAGTAGACATTCAGACACCTGTGGTAGTCAGAGGAAGGAGGAGGGAGAGGATGGAAGGGAAAGGAAAGAACGTGTGAGGACAGTACACCCACTTCTAACCAGAGAACCCTTTTGGATCATGGAACCAGTACAATACATAATGGAGTTCATGACAAGTTTCATGTTCAAGCAAATAACCTAATTTCTTTAATTCAGTCTTTTTCATAATTACCTCACACAGTGTTTGAGTGTTTGTGCATCTGAAACCAGACCGGGCTGCTTTCTACAACTGGCGCAGAATTTAAACCCTTCCTCCATCTTCTGAAACATCTCTTTCTGAGACTTGGAGGCCATGGCGTTGGCCTTTCCCCCTGGGCCTGGGGCACTAGGGAGAGGTAGATGGAGAAACAATATTAGCAACAAAAAATTATAATTATTTTAAAGCATCATCCTTTTCAATATTGCTATAAAAACATTCTGCCATGCCAAAAGCTTTTTTGAATTTCGAACTTGACAGGGAGAATATAAAGTAGGCCTTTATTTCAAACACACTTCAACTGAAATATATTTTTTACACACATTTTACAAACTATGTCTTTACAATGAGAATGAACTAACCACAGATTTAACTAGAAATGCATGTAATAGAAACATGACACCCTTCACTCAGTGCAGGGATGTCTATAAAAAGGTAAGTGTGTGGGTGGCCGGTGGGTTTGGACATGGAGGGGTTGAAAAGGGATCCCATATCACAGAAAAAAATTAAGGGGGGTTAATACATCAAAGGCAAATGTACAGTGGGGGGGAAAAGTATTTAGTCAGCCACCAATTGTGCAAGTTCTCCCACTTAAAAAGATGAGAGAGGCCTGTAATTTTCATCATAGGTACACGTCAACTATGACAGACAAATTGAGAAAGAAAAATCCAGAAAATCACATTGTAGGATTTTTTATGAATTTATTTGCAAATTATGGTGGAAAATAAGTATTTGGTCACCTACAAACAAGCAAGATTTCTGGCTCTCACAGACCTGTAACTTATTCTTTAAGAGGCTCCTCTGTCCTCCACTCGTTACCTGTATTAATGGCACCTGTTTGAACTTGTTATCAGTATAAAAGACACCTGTCCACAACCTCAAACAGTCACACTCCAAACTCCACTATGGCCAAGACCAAAGAGCTGTCAAAGGACACCAGAAACAAAATTGTAGACCTGCACCAGGCTGGGAAGACTGAATCTGCAATAGGTAAGCAGCTTGGTTTGAAGAAATCAACTGTGGGAGCAATTATTAGGAAATGGAAGACATACAAGACCACTGATAATCTCCCTCGATCTGGGGCTCCACGCAAGATCTCACCCCGTAGGGTCAAAATGATCACAAGAACGGTGAGCAAAAATCCCAGAACCACACGGGGGGACCTAGTGAATGACCTGCAGAGAGCTGGGACCAAAGTAATAAAGCCTACCATCAGTAACACACTACGCCGCCAGGGAATCAAATCCTGCAGTGCCAGACGTGTCCCCCTGCTTAAGCCAGTACATGTCCAGGCCCGTCTGAAGTTTGCTAGAGTGCATTTGGATGATCCAGAAGAGGATTGGGAGAATGTCATATGGTCAGATGAAACCAAAATAGAACTTTTTGGTAAAAACTCAACTCGTCGTGTTTGGAGGACAAAGAATGCTGAGTTGTATCCAAAGAACACCATACCTACTGTGAAGCATGGGGGTGGAAACATCATGCTTTGGGGCTGTTTTTCTGCAAAGGGACCAGGACGACTGATCCGTGTAAAGGAAAGAATGAATGGGGCCATGTATCGTGAGATTTTGAGTGAAAACCTCCTTCCATCAGCAAGGGCATTGAAGATGAAACGTGGCTGGGTCTTTTCAGACACTGATCCCAAACACACCGCCCGGGCAACGAAGGAGTGGCTTCGTAAGAAGCATTTCAAGGTCCTGGAGTGGCCTAGCCAGTCTCCAGATCTCAACCCCATAGAAAATCTTTGGAGGGAGTTGAAAGTCCGTGTTGCCCAGCGACAGCCCCAAAACATCACTGCTCTAGAGGAGATCTGCATGGAGGAATGGGCCAAAATACCAGCAACAGTGTGTGAAAACCTTGTGAAGACTTACAGAAAATGTTTGACCGGTGTCATTGCCAACAAAGGGTATATAACAAAGTATTGAGAAACTTTTGTTATTGACCAAATACTTATTTTCCACCATAATTTGCAAATAAATTCATTACAAATCCTACAATGTGATTTTCTGGATTTTTTTTTCTCATTTTGTCTGTCATAGTTGACTTGTACCTATGACGAAAATTACAGGCCTCTCTCATCTTTTTAAGTGGGAGAACTTGCACAATTGGTGGCTGACTAAATACTTTTTTCCCCCCACTGTATAAACCAGGGATCAGACCCCAATTCATATCAGATGGGATCAAATTCTCTGTCAAACAAAGTAAATTCATGAATTGAATGAGACGTGTCTTACAGCCATTTTACATTGTTGTGCTACCCAATCCGAAGGACCACTTCTGACCACTGTGAGGCGCAGGTCCCCTATTTTTAGAGTGGAGCATTTGGCCTGCCATGTATGGAGAGAGTTGAGGGAGGGGCAGGGGCAGGGGCAGGGAGGTTCAGGAAGCATGGCACATGAAACACACATTACAATGCAATTCATATAATAAAGCCTTGAATAAAATCTACTTATTCAACTTGAAATATCAATAAAACCTATGTAGTTATGTTTGATATGTTGTTGGAAACAGATCCAGATGAGAATGTTTTTAAAAGCATGCACATAATGGAATGGCATATTCCTTTAGTATGGGAAATATTATAGCCTATAAAGTAAACATCATATTGACTGTGACAATAGTTATGAGACACATAAAACCATCATGGCCTTGACCACATCTGAATCAGTCACTCCGTGCATATTTGATTGCCATAGCGTGTCCTGGTCCGCAATAGACCCATGGGGACATTCAGTGTCTACATTTTGGGATAACATCAACACGAGGCAGGGGAGAGACCATAGACACATGATAGGCTACCCGGTGATTATCTATCAATAAATTATCTAGTAATAAAGCTGATTATTTCTTGGTATCGGTCATTCGAACTCTTTAAGTATAAACACACGTTGCTGAATCACTCTCCTTGCGGAGCTTGCTTGAGTCGCAGCAGTGGCCTGCCCCAGCCACTTATACCACCTGTGTTCCACCTCCCAGAACTGTCTGACAACTCTAGACCCTTCCCATCTCTTCAGGTGGTTGCAGTTCTTGCATAGAAACTTTCCCTGAAAGCCATTCCACTGATTTCATCCACAGAGTTGAGCGCAGACTCCTTCAGTGTCGCTATGCAGTTGATACTTCAAAATGTACATTCTTAAACCCTTACCATGTACCTATGTTTGTCCTCTGTTGTTGCGTGCCTTTCTTTGTTTGCTGAAATCCATACTTTTTAATAAAATGTTAATAAAATACAAACACCGAGATTGTTGAGATTCAATTGAAACGTGCATTAGCGCTGAGTTGCCATTTTAGCGCAACAGCAATTAGGAAACAAGTGGTTGTATTTGATGAACGTTTTATGAAATAGTATGGATTTTGGCAAACAAAGAAAGTCACGCAACAACAGAGAACAAACGTAGGTACACGGTAGGGGTTTATCAACATTTGCATTTTTAAAGTATCAACTGCATAGTGACTCGAAGGAGCCAGAGGTTCATTTAAAAAAACTGGAATCTCTGCTCAAATCCGTGGATGAAATCATCGTGGAGTTGAGGTACCTCGCAAGATTTTTTATATGCTTTAGAGAATCTCCAGTTTAGATATTTTTTTTCTGTAGGCCTAAATACCCATAAAGTGAGCCTTTTAAAATAGCAATTTTTAAATTATACTTTGTAAGACGATAGGATATTTGACCATATACAAGAGTGCATTTTAATCCACTAGAGAGAGATGTAGATCTATTCAAGACTGGCGCGCGCGCAAGCTACTTGATGTGCATTGGATCGAGTCAATCTGATGGAATGGATACCACATCTGCACTCCTCGGTTTTGACACTGAATGATTCATAATTACACTTCAGACAATAATGGGCAATTTTCACACTTTTGGAACGTCAACTTATTTGTGTAAGATATTTTTTATAGCATAAGAAAATACATATATATGTTTTCAGTTTCACTATTCAGCACGCAATTAACATAACATGTAGCCTTTAATAGCAAACAAAGTGAATGATTCAGTAGTAAAACTAAATGCACAGGCACCACAAATGTACAGAGCTTCATTAGTTTATCATACACAAAAGAGACAATGGAGATGAACACTATGAGATGGAAACAGGGGCGTCATGCCCCCATTATTTTATTTGTATATGGGGTCTCTGCGTCAGGCTCTATCTTTGCCATCATGTCACTAATTACTCCTCCATTAGCTGTCAACCTGACCTCTCTCTCTCTTTCTCTGAGGAGATCAGGGGACCTTGGGTACAACAGGCACTTATTCCAGTTGGATCTGGAGCAGGTCGATATGTCAGCCACTACTCCGTTCTACCTCGCTGTGCTTTGGGGCGTGGAACAAGACTATCTGTTCACAGAGATGTTTCATGGCCAGGAGCATGGAAAATGGAGGAGCCACTGTTTCACAACCCTCTTATCGGGATCAGAGTGGTGACATCTGCCAGCTTGCTGGCCAGGCTTGTGAGAGCAGGGCTCACTAAGTTGGGTGACCTGCAAGAAAAGGCTGGGTGGAAATCTGCCGGCAACACTTGTCATCTCCCGTCTGGATTACTGCAACTCGCTGTTGGCTGGGCTCCCTGCCTGTGCCATTAAACCCCTACAACTCATCCAGAATGCCGCAGCCCGTCTGGTGTTCAACCTTCCCAAGTTCTCTCACGTCACCCGCTCCTCCGCACACTCCACTGGCTTCCAGTTGAAGCTCGCATTTGCTACAAGACCATGGTGCTTGCCTACGGAGCTGTGAGGGGAACGGCACCTCCGTACCTTCAGGCTCTGATCAGTCCCTACACCCAAACGAGGGCATTGCGTTCATCCACCTCTGGCCTGCTGGCTCCCCTAGTTCCCGCTCAGCCCAGTCAAAACTGTTCGCTGCTCTGGCACCCCAATGGTGGAACAAGCTCCCTCACGACGCCAGGACAGCGGAGTCACTCACCACCTTCCGGAGACATTTGAAACCCCACCTCTTTAAGGAATACCTGGGATAGGATAAAGTAATCCTTCTACCCCCCCCCCCCCCCCTTACCCCAACCCCCCCCCCCCCCAAAAAAAAAAACACACAAAAAAAAAACATTGTAAAGTGGTTATCCCACTGGCTATAAGGTGAATGCACCTATTTGTAAGTCGCTCTGGATAAGAGCGTCTGCTAAATGACGTAAATGTAAATGTAACATGGCTTCCTCCATAAAGTCTACCAGGCTGCTACAGCAGGTGGTGGAATGGGTACGTGCTGCCTTACCAGGCTTGTTCAGAGAGCTGCTGAGGAGTAGGCAGAGACTGGACCGTCTAACCCCGAATGACACTGACCTACCTCTTTTCACCATTGCTGCCGCTGCAGGGGAACACCAGGAGGGGGAGGGAATGATCCTATCCTTTTTTTTAAAGAAGAAATTCTTATTTACAGTGACTGCCTACACCGGCCAAACCCGGACAACGCTGGGCCAATTGTGCGCCGCCCTATTGGACTCCCAATCACGGCCGGTTGTGATACAGCCTGGAATCGAACCAGGGGGTCTGTAGTGATGCCTCAAGCGCTGAGATGCAGTGCGTTAGACCACTGCGCCACTCGGGAGCCCAAGGCATAAGGTTGGCAGTGTGGTTAAGGTTAAGGTTAGGTTTAAAATCACATTTTAAGAAGATTAATTGTAGAAATAGGCCAGGTATATGAATTTGTGGCTGTGGTAACTGGTGACGATCAGGCATAACTCTGATATGAAGTGGTTTTTCTCAAAGTTGCATCATCATCAAATCATTTTATAACAGGGGAAAATTCTAGCCAATGAACATATCCTGTAGCAGCAGTCTACTGAAACACAATAGGTCAGGCTCTCGTACCGGATTTTTGACCACAGAAGATGAAAGGGGTCGGTGAAAGGTGAATAATTGCTGACAATAAAGAGGTAAGTTCGATTGCGTTTCAGTAGAGAAACCAACCAACTAGCTAGCTAGCTAATCAACTATGATTTCAAAGTTGAAATTGAAGTAGGTAGATATTTATTAAAGCAGGCTATTGATTAGGCAAGCTAGGTTAACGTCAGCTAGCTAGGAAGCTAACTAGCTAACATTTAACCAGTTAAAACCTGTGGTTTAACCAAAGATGGTTTTGTTTTCTATACCGTCTTTGGTTTAACTAAGAGCATTATAGCTAAGTCAACAAGGGGTTTAGTAGAGGAAGAGGACTTGGAAGACCAGCATGACTGGGAAGGAGTGGCAGAGGAAGGGGGAGAGGCATTGTGAAAATAGACAGGGAAAGCCTTGAAGAGGGCGGTGATTGAGAAGGGGGAGTCAAGAGAGGTCAGGCTCTGAACCAAATAATAGCCAATATTGTAAACCGCTAACTGCTTACTTTGAGATAGTCATATTGAAATACAGATTTGTGCAGTTACAATAAATGAGTGACCTCAAACCATTTCTCTCCTCTCTCCATCCCCCTTCCATGCAGGGCCACGGTCACTAATATGTGTTGGTGAAGTTGTTCTCTGCTCAGCTGACAGGGACAGGAGATACAGGAGTCCATTCTGTCCCAAATATGCTACCTTGGCTCTCCTCTATGCACAGCACACTGGGACTTCCTGCAGGTAATCATGACATCCACCAATCACCCCTGTAGCCTAATAATTAGTTGTACTGAGAGTTCCTCTAATTTCTTTGATGCTGTATAGAAGCATTCTTCATAGGACATTTGTCACGTAGAGAAGATGATGACCAGCTGCTGTCTATTGGCTAGAAAGACGGTTCTATACAGAGTATGGTTCTACACTGAATGTATACTGAACAGAAACATAAACGCAACATGTAAAGTGTTGGTCCCTTGTTTCATGAGTTGCACCTGTGTATTGATAATGCTGTTTAATCAGCTTCTTGATATGCCACACCTGTCAGGTGGATGGATTATCTTGGCAAAGGAGAAATGCTCACTAACAGGGATGTAAACACATTCGTCCACAACATTTTTGAAAAATAAGCTTTTTGTGCGTATGGAACATTTCTGGGATCTTTTATTATAAGCTACGGACAATGAACACACTTTCATTTTATCGATGGCAATTTGAATGTACAAAGAGACCGTGATGAGATCCTGAGGCCCATTGTCGTGCCATTCATCTGCCGCCATCACCTCATGTTTCAGCATGATAATGCACGGCCCCATGTCGCAAGGATCTTCTTTGAAATTGTTGCATGTTGCGTTTATATTTTTGTTCAGTGCATCTTCACCTTGCATAAAGGGATATTCAATGTCTGTTTTGTTTTTTTACCCATCTACCAATAGGTACCCTTCTTTGTGGTTGAAGCTGTGTTTGAAATTCACTGCTCGACTGAGGGACCTTACAGATAATTGTATGTGTGGGGTACAGAGATGAGGTAGTCACTCAAAAATCATGTTAAAAACTATTATTACACACAGAGTGAGTCCATGCAACTTATTATTTGACTTATTAAGCACATTTTTACTACTGAACTTATTTAATCTTACCATAACAAAGGGGTTGAATACTTATTGACTCAAGAAAGTTCAGCTTTTCATTTTGAATTATTTTGGAAAAATGTCTAAAAACATGATTCCACTTTGACATTATGGGGTATTGTGTTTATGCCAGTGACCCCAAATCTCAATTTAATACATTTTAAATTCAGTCTGTAGCACAACAAAATGTGGAAAAAGTCAAGGGGTGTGAATACTTTCTGAAGGCACTACAAGCTGAAGGGGGGTAACTGGGTCTCCCCTATCCTATCCTATCCTATTCTGATGCCCTGATGACAGAGTTCCCCTAACAGGATGGTAATACCCTGGTAATGGAAACCCTTGAGAACAGAGCTCCATTAGGGAACAGCAGGAGATACCTCAGAAATGAGGCGACCAGCCTGTGGCCCTTGACGCCAAATCCCAACTGCAACAGTGAGTCAATCCCCCCAGTGGCCACTTGCATTCGTGTGTGTATCATACTACAGGGTGTGTATTGTCAGTATCAATGTACGGGTGTATTGTCAGTCTCTAGCCTCCACCTGCAAGGGTTTACATGACTGTAAAAAGAAAAGAAAAAAAAGACTACATTTACACTACATCTATTCATGGATTTATACAGAGAATTACAGGGATATGCCAAAAATATAAAGCATTTATTTATAAAGATTTTGTAATTTGTTTTTGTGGAGTGTATTCTATATAGTATATATTACAGAGTACATAACATGCATAAAACTATTATGTTGTAAGTTATTCTGTAAAATACAAATCACCTTTACCTATTCTACTCACATTGTAATAAGACTGTTATATTTCTACACAGTATTAGACAATACATTTACATTATGCCATGCAATATATACTGTATATTTTGATATATATATATTTTTTGCATATATATTGCAAATATATATTTCTCTCTTTGAATAGTGTGATATAGAATGAGGCTTATAGAAGTTTGGTGAACAGGAGAGTACACCCTGAGATAATAGATGTCTTGAAACTCTATCCTTGACAGGACTGGCTCCAAAAGCACTGCAGAAATGCATTAAAGGCTAAATTACCTTGACAGACAAATGCCTAGCATGCTCTGGAGTATACGTATACCCACATACTGGCTATACTGTTTAGGCCTGTGTAACTTTGAACTGTATAGAGGTACAGAAGTTCAATACTGGAACTTTACATCAAGTTTCAAATAAGTGTGAAACGTGTCTCTTAGCCAGAATAAGGCATATGTGCAAGGCAAAAAAAATGCATTGTATAATTAATTGAAAATATATTTTTCCACTCTGAAGAAACTACAGTATATACGTATTGTTCATATCTACAGGGCACAAGGAGAACAAAGCATGATATTAGACTTCCCACAAGAAGAAAAGTTGTATTTCTCGAGAGACTCATGAGTTTCTGACCACGAAGTTGATACCAGAGTCTAAAATCACTACAGACAGGCTGTCCATTCTAAATCACTAGATGCATTACTGTTCTGAACCACTATGCAGACAAATTAAAACAACGCTGGTAAACTTGTAAACCAACCAAAATAACTTTACAATACCTTGTCAGGTCTGTTTTAGAGGATTGTGGTCTAGGCTTTTCTTCTTCACTGGGTCTTTTTCTAGTCTCTTCCTCACTCCAGACTGCCCAGTGAGGGATGGTGACGGGGAATGACAGCTCCCCAGGTTAGGTGGTGGTTGTGCAATGCTACCACCAAGCTGTGGGGCCGGTAGTGAAAACCTATCCCCCTCCGGGCTGGGGGCAAGGCAAAAGCACTGATGCCTGAGCTCTGGAGGATTCCCGGCATCTGAGGTCAAGGGGGAGATTTGGGGGGGCAAAGGGAGGGGTTGAGGGGATGGAGGATGGGGGCTAGGGAAGGGAGAAGGGAGTGGTGGAGGTTAGGTGATAAACAGAGGCAGAGATTAGGAGGGCTGGGGTAAAAGGGAGGGGGGTTGTTGATGGATTATGGCTAGGGGTGTGGATTGGAAGGGGTAAAAGGGGTTTTGGATGATGTCACAGGGGATGGAGGATTGGGGCTTGGGAAGGGAGGAGGCGGGTAGGAGGTTCAGTGATAAACAGGGGTGAAGGTTGGGAGGGATGTTAAGGGGTTAAGTGGTTTGGGAAGGGGGCCTGGGTGACATATGACCTCATGTTCTTGGTTATCAAGGCACATTCCTCTGCACTGCCCCAGCCTCACATGCTGAGGTGCTTTCTGGTGGACAAAGGAAGATGGGTAGGGTAACTGATCCTGAAGAGCGAAGTGCACATACAGTGGGGAAAAAAAGTATTTAGTCAGCCACCAATTGTGCAAGTTCTCCCACTTAAAAAGATGAGAGAGGCCTGTAATTTTCATCATATGTACACGTCAACTATGACAGACAAATTGAGAAAAGAAAATCCAGAAAATCACATTGTAGGATTTTTAATGAATTTATTTGCAAATTATGGTGGAAAATAAGTATTTGGTCACCTACAAACAAGCAAGATTTCTGGCTCTCACAGACCTGTAACTTCTTCTTTAAGAGGCTCCTCTGTCCTCCACTCGTTACCTGTATTAATGGCACCTGTTTGAACTTGTTATCAGTATAAAAGACACCTGTCCACAACCTCAAACAGTCACACTCCAAACTCCACTATGGCCAAGACCAAAGAGCTGTCAAAGGACACCAGAAACAAAAGTGTAGACCTGCACCAGGCTGGGAAGACTGAATCTGCAATAGGTAAGCAGCTTGGTTTGAAGAAATCAACTGTGGGAGCAATTATTAGGAAATGGAAGACATACAAGACCACTGATAATCTCCCTCGATCTGGGGCTCCACGCAAGATCTCACCCCGTGGGGTCAAAATGATCACAAGAACGGTGAGCAAAAATCCCAGAACCACACGGGGGGACCTAGTGAATGACCTGCAGAGAGCTGGGACCAAAGTAACAAAGCCTACCATCAGTAACACACTACGCCGCCAGGGACTCAAATCCTGCAGTGCTAGACGTGTCCCCCTGCTTAAGCCAGTACATGTCCAGGCCCGTCTGAAGTTTGCTAGAGTGCATCCAGAAGAGGATTGGGAGAATGTCATATGGTCAGATGAAACCAAAATATAACTTTTTGGTAAAAACTCAACTCGTCGTGTTTGGAGGACAAAGAATGCTGAGTTGCATCCAAAGAACACCATACCTACTGTGAAGCATGGGAGTGAAAACATCATACTTTGGGGCTGTTTTTCTGCAAAGGGACCAGGACGACTGATCCGTGTAAAGGAAAGAATGAATGGGGCCATGTATCGTGAGATTTTGAGTGAAAACCTCCTTCCATCAGCAAGGGCATTGAAGATGAAACGTGGCTGGGTCTTTCAGCATGACAATGATCCCAAACACACCGCCCGGGCAACGAAGGAGTGGCTTCGTAAGAAGCATTTCAAGGTCCTGGAGTCTCCAGATCTCAACCCCATAGAAAATCTTTGGAGGGAGTTGAAAGTCCGTGTTGCCCAGCGACAGCCCCAAAACATCACTGCTCTAGAGGAGATCTGCATGGAGGAATGGGCCAAAATACCAGCAACGGTGTGTGAAAACCTTGTGAAGACTTACAGAAAACGTTTGACCTGTGTCATTGCCAACAAAGGGTATATAACAAAGTATTGAGAAACTTTTGTTATTGACCAAATACTTATTTTCCACCATAATTTGCAAATAAATTCATTAAAAATCCTACAATGTGATTTTCTTGATTTTTTTCCCTCATTTTGTCTGTCATAGTTGACGTGTACCTATGATGAAAATTACAGGCCTCTCTCATCTTTTTAAGTGGGAGAACTTGCACAATTGGTGGCTGACTAAATACTTTTTTTCCCCACTGTATCTTCAAACTGTGGCCAATAAAAACAGAGAATACTATAGACATAAGGTTGTCAAGAACTGTCTGTTTGTCTACCTGTACTCTCTGACTGAACAGTAGAGTAGTTAGAAGAGAAAGCTGATACATAAGTAAAGGGCATGTCAAGAAACGAACAAGTTGTATTTTTTTAAATAAAAAAAACTTTATTTGGTCCATCGGAACCTGAGATGAAAAATTAAACATACATCGTTTTTTTTTTTAGATATAGATTTCTCCCAAAATCAATAAAATACTATATTCATTATATAACATTCCTGCCCAAATAACAAGAGTTCCATTTTCAGCAATATGTTGGATTAAAACAGTTGGTTCACTGTGTCGATTGGGGTTGATTATAGCATTGAAGTCTGTACAGTTTACAAATTAAGAACCAGATAGATAGACAGAGGCTGTTGGCTATAGACTGTAAATGGTCGGAGGGTCAGGATTTCCACATAGACCACACCACTGGCCATAGCCTCTAGAGAACACCAGGGTCACCCCTGCTGCAAGGAAGTCACTACCACCACAACTCAACACGAGGTGAATAGAATGATCCACAGGAACAACACAGAGACAGAGAGACAGAGAGAGAGAGAGACAGAGAGAGAGACAGAGAGAGACAGACAGAGAGAGAGACAGAGAGAGAGAGACAGAGAGAGAGAGAGAGAGAGAGAGAGAGAGAGAGAGAGAGAGAGAGAGAGAGAGAGAGAACATGAACAATAAAAACATTTATCAACAGCAACAAAAAACATGTAAGCACACAACATGTAAAGTGAAGTCACAGAGCCTCATGACACTAATTTGAGGTGCCTTTGGATTTCAGGTATTTTTCAGTGCAGGATTCAGTTTCTGACAAAAGCCAGTCCCACTCAGCTAAAATATATAAGCATTCCTTTCTCTGTCACCTATCTATCAATCAATCAATGGATTGTTCACTATGGCTGTACTCATCATATCCACAGATTACACACTCATACATGTACAGTACATATCCCATCTTACTTGCACACGTTTTACATTTGCGATACAGCAGGTTCTCTTGTGCTTTCATCAAATCCTTTTTACTATAATAAATTAATAACACACAGAATGGAAAGCCAGTTGGCTGAAATCACAGAGAGCGAACCGACATTCTCCTGAAAGTGTTCCGGTACATGTTAGACTTTGACTAAAACAGTGGACTATTTGAACTATATTATGGTCATAATGCCTACAGTACTGTCATGAGTATGCTATTTGGCTATCCAACAAGTTAGAAGTGGTTGTATTGCACGAGACAGCATGTATCATGATGACATTGTCAGGCTATTTATTTGCCATGACTGGTGTCAAAACTGCCATATTTATGAAATCATCGTGAAGACTTGGTCAGCTCAAGATCTTATTTCATAATTCCATAATTTCCTGGGACACTACATTCGAACACATGCAAAGTTTATAGAAATCATTACATACATTTTTTATTATTATTTCAAGTGCACCCCCGAACCTTTTTGCTCTTTGGATTTCAAGTTATCCCATTTCATTACAGAAAAGAGAGATTCTAATTCTGCCTTAACTTAGACTTATGTTACATCTTAAGTTAATAATAATAAGTTCTTAACTCCCAAGAAATCGGTGAGCTAAGACGGTACCGTGTTTAAGAGTTTCTCCTCTGTCAAGGAACAAGTGAATGGTTACAGCTTTGTTTCAGCTTAAAATTAGTGATTTGTGTTGTGAAGTCTGATAGCCTGGTTAAACCAGACTGAACACTGTACAGTGTCAACCAGGCTAGAAGTCTGATGGCTACGGCGTAAAACATGAATAATAGTTGTGACATCACATAGTCTCACATCCCTCACTGCTCCCTGTGCATCCTGGGAACTATGGCATATAATGCACCAAGATTGCTGGAGAGGGAAGAAAACACTACATTCTGATATCGCATCAACATTTTGCAGGGGCCTCTTCAGTGTGTGCGTGTGTGTGTGTGCGTGTGTGTGTGTGTGTGTGTGTGTGTGTGTGTGTGTGTGTGTGTGTGTGTGTGTGTGTGTGTGTGTGTGTGTGTGTGTGTGTGAGTGAGTGAGTGAGTGAGTGAGTGAGTGAGTGAGTGAGTGAGTGAGTGAGTGAGTGAGTGAGTGAGTGAGTGAGTGAGTGAGTGAGTGAGTGAGTGAGTGAGTGAGTGAGTGAGTGAGTGAGTGAGTGAGTGAGTGAGTGAGTGAGTGAGTGAGTGAGTGAGAGAGAGAGAGAGAGAGAGAGAGAGAGTGTGTCTGCGTTTGTGTGTCTGTGTTATTAAAAAGCAGAATTTGTTCTCTAATGTGTTGGCGCATCCCTTAGGGACAGCAGTGCAGATGCTTTGTTTTCTGAGGCTGACGCACCAACCTAACTAAACGCTCTAACAACTCCTCCAACGCTAAAACAAACTAACTTCCTCTTCAAGATCCTGTTCATTAGGACGGGCAATGAAAAACTGAAATGATCATTTCTTATTGGACAAGCCCAGGTAGTACCTCCCCGTTTCAGTCCGTTTTCTTCCATCTGGTGCCTAATGAATACGACACAGGTCTTGTAGTAAACTAAACTCACTGTCCAATCATGGCTTCCACAAGTACTCCCTTAGTTAGTAGTCTCCAGTTTAAGGAGAAGACAGACTAACAATTCAGGAAGACCTACAATGGAGACTTTAATATGACAATGATCCATTGACCCCCACACTTGTATTTTCCCAACAGGACTTTAACTAGCTTTGTGTATCTGAAGAGTTGATGTTAATGCTGGAGCGAGACTTGATGTACCAAATGTGAGCAGACAAGCTGACTGAATGTGCAAAGTCAATCAACCTCAGGGAGACAGAGCAGGAGTTTGGAAAAATGATCTTGCCTCCTTTCGACATTGATCGCTTAACTGAGGGAAAGTAAGACAAGGAAGAAAGAGAGAAAATAGAGGCTAAGAGGTTACATTTCCTCTTTTTCACGACACCCAGATAATTTTGCCTAAATTTGCTGATCTGTACCATAAGCTCTTTCTCTACCTCTCTTCCTCTCTACTCAAAACAAACAGCTCCAACGTCATGGAAGAAAAGCAGCTACCTTCCCAAACCTGTCGCCTCATCCGGAGTGACTGACAGCATGGATAACGAACGACAGCATGTCGAGTTAAAATAGCGATGTCCAACAACTTTAAGATTCCAGCTATGCTATATGTACTGTACAACTGTATATGGAAAACTGTATATGAAACACATTGATTTGACATTTTCTTTGAAACAGAATCAGAGTCCAGCTTTTATATGAAGTGGATAGGATTTGCCTTGCGTTTGAGAAATAATAGCACAGCATTTCAACAGCAGAAAAACTGGGGAGGGCTTGGACAGTTGACCGTCAGACAGACAGACAGGAAACAGAGAGATGGTACCCTAGGTTGCTTGTTAAACGATTCAAGCACACATACAAAATACAGACCAAAGAACGCTGGTAAAAAAAATAAAAGAAATAAAAGAGACCGACATCAACAATACCCTTCTAAAAAATGTTAATTACTGTGGTAAAATTGGTAGTTGGGTTTGGCTCACATAGTACTAGGGTATAGAGTAGAGGATCAGAATTGTACCCCCCTCCCCATCCTGTTGATAGTTGACAGCTCCACAGGTGCAGGGTGCAGGAGGCAGGACAAGAGCCTGGGGGAGAGAGCACCTAACCCTCCCCCTCCCCCTCCATCCCAAAACCAAACCTCACACAGCAGCGCCTATTGGGAGTAGGACAAAGTTTCCCCTAGGCCTAGACGCTGATCTAAGGTCAGTTTTTGCAGTTCTTCCACCAATGGTAAAGGTTAGGCTTTGAGGAGGGGAAGCTGATCCTAGATCAGCTCAAGGAAACTTCTACCTTGAGTATGGTGGGTTGGGTCCATAGACCAAGAACAGTGGGGTCAGGTGGTCAGGTCGGCGTAGTGGATTGGCTCAGTGGGGGAACAGCCCCAAGGTGGCTCATTAGTTACAGCACTCCACCCTGACCTCTGAATGATCTTTAACCTTTGGGATGTGGGGTCAACAGTCTTCCTGGGCATTCGTTGACATCTGTTGCGGGGGTTAGGGAAGGAACAGGCGCTGTTCTGTTCTGATTAGGGTGTCCGTCTGTGTAATATACCTGGTCCATAGTCAGACATACAGTACAGCGTTGTAGTTGACAAGGCTAGATATAGAAATCTTCCTTGTTGGTTGGAGGATCTCAGACTCAGGACTCCTCTAGTCACCCAGAAATGCTGATTTAACCTGGGAGGGGTCCCTCATCCCCCATCACATCCAAAATGGCACATCCATCCACCCCCCTTCTCCTAATTCCCAACTGGATCCAGGTGCGTTTGGCAGAATTGAGTCCTCATCCTTCAGGGATCGAGGAGGAATTAGTGGTCATAGGGGCCGTGGCTGGTGCAGGCCGTCAACGTCGGGGTTGAGCTGGGGGCTGTGCGTGGCCTTGGTGGGGGTCCAGTCCCCTAGGGAGGCCTGAGCGGCCTTGCGGTGGGCCAGCCGGTGTGTGATGGAGAAGCCTGCGTTGCCCTCCAGCTGGGATAGCACCACCAGCACCTGCCTGCAGGGGGAGACAAAGTCAGAAAACACTGTCAGGAAACATGGTCATGCATGACCATCTTCAACAGAAAGATGTGGTATATGAATAGTGGAGAATATGACTGGGAGAGAACATGGCCAGAAAACATTGTAATCATTCCATGAATAGTGAGGTGGTATATAACGATGTATGGATTCTAATCATGGAAAATATGAGAACTATGGGAGAACACGGCCAGAAAACATGGTCATAATGCCATGCGTGACCTGATGGTTCGTAATAATAAAGAACACGATCGTGAGAGAATATGGTCAGAAAATACGATCATTTGCGTATCATTGTCTTTACCAATGCAAGAAAAGTTGAAAAACACGGTAATAAAGCCATTCTGTCTTTAACAGTGGTATATAGGCCTACATAAAAATATTTTTTATCAAGTACACTTTCTTCTCCATGCACCTGGTAGCACCTGCTAGCAGAGGTGTGGACTCGAGGGACATTACTTGGACTCGAGTCTGACTTGAGTCACAAATTTCATGACTTGAGACTTGACTTGAACTTGGAGCCTCAAGACTTGGACTGAACTTTGAATTGAGACTGATGACTTGAAATTATCTGGGCAGGTTTTGTAGTGTTTTGTCACTCATTTTGTGGCACAGTCTCCGTGGATTACTCTCCACGCAGCCAGAGACAGTATCGCACTTGCAAAAAAACGGATTGGCTAGTGAAACGCACACTCGGTCCTCTGATTGGACCAACAAACTGTAAATCAACACAGGTTGGGTGAAGGTTTTGTATTTTTTTAATACACTGAACAAAAATATAAACGCAACATGTTAAGGGTTTCTCCCATGATTCATGATCTGAAATAAAAGATCCCAGTCATTTTACATAAAGCTTATGTCTCTCACATTTTGTACACAAATTTGTTTACATCCCTGTTAGTGAGCATTTCTCCTTTGCCAAGATAATCCATCCACCTGACAGGTGGGGCATATCAAGAAGCAGATTAAACAGCATGATCATTACACAGGTGCACCTTGTGCTGGGGACAATAAAAGGCCACAATGTAATTGGCATGCTGACTGCAGGAATGTCCACCAGAGCTTTTGCTACCATAAGCCACCACCAACATTGTTTTAGAGAATTTGGCAGTACGTCCAACCAGCCTCACAAACCGCAGGCCAATTGTAACCACGCCAGCCCAGGACCTTCACATCTGGCTTCTTCACCTGCGAGATCGTCTGAGACCAGCCACCCGGACAGCTGATGAAACTGTGGGTTTGTACAACCGAAGAATTTCTGCACAAACTGTCAGAAACTGTCTCTGGGAAGCTCATCTGTGTGCTCGTCGTCCTCACCAGGGTCTTGACCTGACTGCAGTTCGACGTCGTAACCGACTTCAGTGGGCAAATGCTCACCTTCGATGGCCACTGGCACGCTGGAGAAGTGTGCTCTTCACGGATAAATCCCGGTTTCAACTGTACCGGGCAAATGGCGTCGTGTGGGCGAGTGGTTTGCTGATGTCAACAGAGTGCCCCATGGTGGCGGTGAGGTTATGGTATGGACAGGCATAAGCTACGGACAATGAACACAATTGTATTTTATCGATGGCAATTATAATGCAGAGATACCGTGACGAGATCCTGAGGCCCATTTTCATGCCATTCATCTGCACCCAACACCTCATGTTTCAGCATGATAATGCACAGCCCCATGTCGCAAGGATCTGTACAGAATTCCTGGAAACTGAAAATGTCCCAGTTCTTCCATGGCCTGCATACTCACCAGAAATGTCACCCACTGAGCATGTTTGGGATGCTCTGGATCAACGTGTACAACAGCGTGTTCCAGTTCCCGCCAATATCCAGCAACATCGCACAGCCATTTAAGAGGAATGAGACAACATTTTGTAAATAAGGTATTTCTGTTTTTTATTTTTTATAAATTTGCTAACATTTCAAAAAAACTGTTTTTGCTTTTGTCATTATGGGGCATTGTGTGTAGATTGATGAGGATATATTTGTTATAAATTTTAGAATAAGGCTGTAACGAAACAAAATGTGGAAAAAGTCAAGGGGTTTGAATACTTTCCGAATGCACTGTAGGCATTCTAGGCAATGTAGTAAACTATAGCCTACTCATATTTAGGATGTACATTTCTTTGGAAAGATAACTGCCTCGTGCTTCTCCACCCACGCATAGCCAGCCTACTCTATTTCATTAAAACCACACATATACTAGGCACATTTGATTTCGCACGCCCAACTAAGAGAGGAGAGGTAGGCTACTTGTGAATAATGTGACAAAAATGTGCTTTTAATACAATAGGTAGGCTAATGCATAGAAACCAGAAAGACTACCATTTCCAAATAATCTGCAGGACAACAAAAATATTTTCAGCACAAAATTGTCTGATCTGACCACCCGCTCCCAACCACAGCGTGAACAATGCCGACCGCGCCGCAATGATCTCTGTCGGGTAAGAAGATCTACCTGGGGCCTCATTTATAACCATTGCATACATGTAACACTAAATATCTGCGTGCACCATTTCTGAAAACACTGTGCACGCACAAAAATATACGAGTTATAAACTTGGCGAACCCCATATATACGCATGTATCCGTTATGAATCAGACCTGTCTTAAAACTGTGCACGCGTGAACGAGCATTAGAACTCCGCCTGAAAATGCCCATCATTCACCTTTTATGGTGACAGTAACACCCTTATTTGCTGTATAGTTTGAAAGTATTGGAATTAGACAGTATCTAAAGGAAATAGCAATGGAAAACTTGATCAAATGTCTTTGGATGTGTTGGCAGAATGTGTCCTTTTGCAGTGACCATTTCTGAAAGACAAAAACAATTGCAAATTGTTGTGGACCTGTAAACAGATTGTTTGAATGTAATAATGTTTTGCATTCACTTTTTCCCGAACCTAAATATGCTCGGACAAAATGAAAACTACAGTAGGCCTACTTACAGTGGTAGCCTACACACTTCAATGAACAATATAAACTGTCTGTTCACCTGTTAAATTCTACTGTATTTATAAAATGCGGACCCTGTCGGATGCATAGAGAAAACATTTGAAATGATAATAGCCAAACTAATAGTCCCAATTAAATGAGAGATGCGCATGGTAATTTGGTGCATGGCTATGGGAATATCAACTCATCATGGCCAGAAAAGGTGAGGAATCTATTCTGCAATGGTTATGATTTATGTATTATGTTCATAAATGAAATATTGCCTACGCTAGAAATGTCACATTACAGTACTCAGATGTAGCTTACAAACGTCAATGGAAAAGGTGAACCATCTGTTCTACCCTAATCACATAGAGCAAAATAGACTACTTGAAATAGCTTATCTATTTACTACTGTAAAGTGGGTCCAATTAAATGAGAGATGGGACCAATGGTAGTCTATCCAAACTTGTAGGCCTACAGGCTATTTCGTGAGTAGCCAATGAAACCATCACAGTCAGAAAGGGTGAGGAATTTATTCTGTAATGATCATGGAAATGAAATAAATAATAGGAAATATATGCCTATTTTGAATTATTTTAGAATGCTAAGAAAAATCGATTTGCTTTTCTCAATAATGACAAATGATTGCATCTTGTTATTTAGCTAGGCCTACCTGTTTTTTGTAATGAATAAGAGTGTCATCATATATTCCCCATTTATACAAGGATACGTTTTTTGCCTTCTTGCAATGAAATACTTCAACCACTAGAAACTGTGCGTACCCATAGTCTAAAGTTTGCGGGAGGATAAACTCATTCTCACGTCAAGTTCAGTTTTTAAAATTGCCAAATTTAGCGTGAAAAATGGTGCATGCATGTTTTGGGGCTGCTTCTGATTTCATTGATCATTTCCATATTTCAGATAGGCCTAGTTTGGATGAGTTATAATTATATACCTCAGTGGTGGTACTGGCTATATGTCTAAAGATAGCTAGCTGTAACATCGCACAACCTTCAATACTTATGGGATGAAAATGTAACATATTCTGGCGAATTAATTAGGATATTTCTGAGGAAGAAAAAGGCTAAAGACAGATCCTGCTTTCCATCCGATCCTGCAACCTCAGCTGCATAGGCCCACATGTAGGCTGCATGATCCTGCTTGCTCTGGACTGACAATGAGACATGATATTCCTAGTTGATATTGACTGCTAACATGAATGACTTTCTGCTCAAAATGCAGGTGTAAAACAGTTGATTTTTCTGCATCTTGTGTTTTGAAAATGCTTTACCGTTTATGGCTGTAAAGATAGGGTACATTTGTGCAGCGATTGTGAGCGCGTGTTCGCACATGCATGTGCGCCGTCTGGTAGCCTCAATAAATAGACAAAGATTGTTAGTTGAACAAGTCATTGCCTGTAGCCTATAGATTTATTTTGATTTGGAAAAAAACTTGTGACTCGACTCGCTCTTAGAATGCACGACTTGGACTTGACTCGAGACTCGACCGGTTGTACTTGGGACTCGACTTGAGACTTGGACCTTGTGACTTGAGACTTGCTTGTGACTCGAATAGTAGTGACTTGGTCCCACCTCTGCCTGCTAGCACCTGTGTAAGTTTACGTTCTAAATAGGCCTATATAAACAATGTACTGTGTGGTGCACAGCAGTACCTGTATAGAGGCGGTACACTGTCGATGGTCTTGAGGCTGCCGCGGGTGGACACTACGTTGAAGCTGTCCGTACAGTCACATGACACGTGGAGGTAGTACTTGGGGTGGCGGTTCTCCACCACCACGATCAGTCCCGCCCAGCCGTGGGTCAGGTAATAGCATGTCATGCCCTCGCGTCCCTACAGAGACATACAGAGACAGAGAGACAGGCACGCACACAGGAACACACACACACAGGAACACACACACAAACACACACAGAGGCAGACGCGCACAAAGAAACGCAGACAGACAGAAACAGAGATACAGACAGACACATATACATTGTAAATAGTACATACATAAGATGCCATTTGAGTTACACATATGCCTGTGACACAGTCTCTCTCTATTCAACCCGCCTACTATGTTTAGATAACGGCAGTTTCTGATTTCTATAACTGGATGTGTTTCGTCTCCAGTAGTGAAATGCTCTCTTTGCCGTCTCTGTGCGAGTGTGTGTCTGTTACAGTGTCTGTGTGTGTGGTGTATGCTACTCCCTTCTCACCTCGTGTCTCTCTCCCTTGTTCTCGGTCAGTAGGATGATGGCGTCGGCCAGCGTGGTAGCGGTAGCCTCCACCTGCTCCACCATCACCTGACGGGAGCTGTAGATGGCCAGGATGTACCCTGGGAAGTCTTGGCTGGGACGCCGTGCACTGGTGGGGCTCGACACTAAAAGAAGACAAGAGAAGATTCAATCTTTCAATCCACAAGCTAGCAGGTTAACTACAGGTGTAAGCACTTATGGAATGGACAACATAGCTCGTTTTTGACAATACACGGTCCTTGGGAGTCTTTAATAGATGACTCAGTCCATAGGCATATTCTCCTTATTGAATGCTTTACCGGCTCGTATGAAATTCATCAACATTCTCACACACATATTCAAACACAACTGACACATTCACACTATGAACGTGTCAGTTGTCTTTGAATATGTGTGTGAGAATGTGTATGTGAGAATGGAAAAGTATACATGAACACAAACGTGTATGTGTGTGTGTGTGTGCGCGTTAGCTTGTGTGAACCTAGTGTGGCCAGTACTCCTCTACCATCCATTCATGCTAATCTGTAGAGGGATATACTGTATGTATGTGTGTTTGTGAATGCGTGTTTGTGTACGTGTGTGTGTGTGTACCTGGTGTGGGCGGCCCTACTCCGCTGACATTCATCTGCCAGTGGTTAAAGGCGCAGCACACCATAGCGTACTCGCCCGGCTCCAGCATCACGTCGCAGCCCACAAACTTCTTAACGGCCCGCTTGCTGTGGGCCAGCAGCCGGCCCAGGGTCAACTTGTTGCCACTGCCAAACGATGCTCTGAACACCATGATACACAGGTCCAACAGGTGGCTGTCTGCTGTGTCCGACCGCCTAGAGGAAGGAGAAGAATAGAGATTCAGAAGTTTATAAGATGTATTGTTCATTCCAACAGGTGCCTGTCGAGAGAGAGAAAGAGAGAGAGAGAGAGAGAGAGAGAGAGAGAGTACCTGCTGCCCTCCTGGAAGAGGGCAAACTCCAGCGCGGTCCTCTCCAGCACGGTCAGGGCAGTGACCGTAACAGGACCACAGGCTCTGCTGGGGAAACAGCCCTGTAAACGCACCTCCTGCCAATCTGAGTGGATCTTACATATGTCCACCGAATCAAAGTACCTGTGGAGAGACACAACAAATACACTGTTAGACAGGACTAGAAACCTTATGCACACACACACTCGTCACTCAAAGCTAATTGCGCTCTTGTTAATGGTGCCGGAGGAGATGGCTGCTGTTTTACGGGCTCCTAACCAATTGTGCTATTTTGTGTGTTTCTTTGCGTTGTTATTAACTTATTTTGTACATAATGTTGCTGCTACCGTCTCTTATGACTGAAAAGAGCTTCTGGATATCAGAACAGCGACAAAGATTTTTTCTTTAATGAGTCTGACGCGAAGGATATACTGTTTCTCCCGGACCAGGCCCAAATCCCCGCCATTCGCATGAAGAAAAGACGGAGATACAGGGGGCGCAGATCGGGGTGCCTTGTGAGAATTTGTCGGCGAGTGGGTAACCCGCCTCTACCATCCGTTCTATTGGCCAACGTGCAATCACTGGAGAATAAACTGGATGAGCTCCATTCGAGACTATCCTACCAACGGGACATTAAAAACGGTAATATCTGTTTCACCGAGTCGTGGCTGAACGACGACATGGATAACATACAGTTGGCTGGGTTTTTCGTGCATCGGCAGGACAGAGCAGCTACGTCCGGTAAGACGAGGGGTGGTGGTGTGTGCCTATTTGTCAATAACAGCTGGTGCGCGATGTCTAATATTAAGGAAGTCCCGAGGTATTGCTCGCCTGAGGTAGAGTACCTCATGATAAGCTGTAGACCACACTATCTACCAAGAGAGTTTTCATCTATATATTTTTTCGTAGCCGTCTATTTACCACCACAAACCGATGCTGGCATTAAGACCACACTCAACGAGCTCTATAAGGCCATAAGCAAAGAAGAAAATGTTCATCCAGAAGCGGCGCTCCTCGTGGCCAGGGACTTTAATGCAGGCAAACTTAAAACCGTTTTACCTCATTTCTACCAGCATGTCACATGTGCAACCAGAGGGCAAAAAACTCTAGACCACCTTTACTCCACACACAGAGACGCATACAAAGCTCTCCCTCGCCCTCCATTTGGCAAATCTGACCATAATTTTATCCTCCTGATTCCTGCTTACAAGCAAAAACTGAAGCAGGAAGTACCAGTGACTCGCTCAATACGGAAGTGGTCAGATGACGCGGATGCTACAGGACTGTTTTGCTAGCACAGACTGGAATATGTTCCGGGATTCATCCAATGGCATTGAGGAGTATACCACCTCAGTCATCGGCTACATCAATTAGTGCATCGACGATGTCGTCGCCACAGCAACCGTACGTACATATCCCAACCAGAAGCCATGGATTACAGGCAACATCCACACTGAGCTAAAGGCTAGAGCTGCCGCTTTCAAGGAGCGGGACACTAATCCGGACATTTATAAGAAATCCTGCTATGCCCTCAGATGAACCATCAAACAGGCAAAAGCGTCAATACAAGACTAAGACTGAATCCTACTACACCGGCTCTGACGCTCGTCAGATGTGGCAGGGATTGCAAACTATTACGGACTACAAAGGGAAACCCAGCCAGACGGGCTAAATGCCTTTTATGCTCGCTTCGAGGCAAGGAACACTTTAGCATGCATGAGAGCACCAGCTGTTCCAGACGACTGTGTGATCACGCTCTCCGTAGCCGATGTGAGCAAGACCTTTAAACAGGTCAACATTCACAAGGCTGCAGGGCCAGACGGATTACCAGGACGTGTACTCAGAGCATGCGCGGACCAACTGGCAAGTGTCTTCACTGACATTTTCAACCTCGCCCTGACCGAGTCTGTAATACCTACAGTGAGGGAAAAAAGTATTTGATCCCCTGCTGATCTTGTACGTTTGCCAACTGACAAAGAAATGATCAGTCTATAATTTTAATGGTAGGTTTATTTGAACAGTGAGAGACAGAATAACAACAAAAAAATCCAGAAAAACGCATGTCAAAAATGTTATGAATTGATTTGCATTTTAATGAGGGAAATAAGTATTTGACCCCTCTGCAAAACATGATTTAGTACTTGGTGGCAAAACCCTTGTTGGCAATTACAGAGGTCAGACGTTTCTTGTAGTTGGCCACCAGGTTTGCACACATCTCAGGAGGGATTTTGTTTCAAGCAGACCACCATAGTCCCTGTGCCCAAGAAAGCGAAGGTAACCTGCCTAAATGACTACCGCCCCGTAGCTGTCACGCCCTGGCTCTGGGGACTCTGAAATGTTGAGCCAGGGTGTGTAGTTTTGGTGTTACATTTTCTATGTTGATGTTCTAGATCGTTTAGATCTATGTTGGCCAGGGTGGTTCCCAATCAGAGGCAGCTGTATCTCGTTGTCTCTGATTGGGGACCATACTTAGGCAGCCTGTTTGGCACTAGTCGGGGTGGGATCTTGTTCCGTTAAGGTTTGTTTTGTGTAACCTAGGACTTCACGTTTCGTTTGCTTGTTGTTTTGTCGTGAGTTTAGTACTTAATAAAATATACACTTATCACGCTGCGCCTTGGTCCGTATCTTCCGTTAACGATCGTGACAGTAGCCCTCACGTCGGTAGCCATGAAGTGCTTTGAAAGGCTGGTCATGGCTCACATCAACACCATCATCCCGGAAACCCTAGACCCACTCCAATTCGCATACCGCCCCAACAGATCCACAGATGACGCAATCTCAATCGCACTCCACACTGCCATTTCCCATCTGGACAAAAGGAACACCTATATGAGAATGCTGTTCATTGACTACAGCTCAGCTTTCAACACCATAGTGCCCACAAAGCTCATCACTAAGCTAAGGACCCTGGGACTAAACACCTCCCTCTGCAACTGGATCCTGGACTTCCTGACAGGCCGCCCACAGGTGGTAAGGGTAGGCAACAACACATCTGCCACGCTGATCCTTAACACAGGAGCCCCTCAGGGGTGCGTGCTTAGTCCCCTCCTGTACTCCCTGTTTAGTCACGACTGCGTGGTCAAGCACGACTCCAACACAATCATTATGTTTGTTGATAACACAACAGTGTTAGGCCTGATCACCGACAACGATGAGACAGCCTATAAGGAGGAGGTCAGAGACCTGGAAAGATTTGGCATGGGTCCCCAGATCCTCAAAAAGTTATACAGCTGCACCATCGAGAGCATCCTGACTGGTTCCATCACCGCCTGGTATGGCAACTGCTCGACATCTGACCGTAAGGCACTACAGAGGGTAGTGCGTACAGCCCAGTACATCACTGGAGCCAAACTTCCTGCCATCCAGGACCTATATACTAGGCGGTGTCAGAGGAAGGCCCAAAAAATTGATGGACTAATTGTTTGCTCAGTGGGAACTGTGTGGAGTTTGGAGTTTGTGACAGCAACTATGTGAGCTTATTACAGTATTATAGAGTCTATGGAGCTAGGAACACAATGATCTGCAAAAAATATGTGTATGTGACCAATAAAATTTGATTGGATTTTATGTCCTTGGATTTCAAATGATCTTCTATGTAGAAGAACCCCTTACCTTCAAATTACTTGTGTTGCTTGTGAGCGTCACGTTACATGTGCGTGTTCGTGAGAGTCTCAGCTTTTCATAGATAGCTTTTAATAGTTTGTAGCTCAAATTATTCTGACTCTATAGACGTTTTTGTAAAAAGACCCAGCCCGGGCCCCTTTGGGATCCGCCCTTGTCTCACAAACACCGCTCTACCTCAGCACCCGTTAATCACACAGACTAATGGTTGGTACCAACGGATGCAGAAGAAAAATACGAATCCAGTGGTACAATGTGTTTAAAAGGGGTTAGAAGTACAAATTGCGCCGGTGTCGCGGTGGGACTCATTGAGTTAAAAGCCGCGAGGACATCACCTTGCTTGTCTACCAGGTATTTGTTTGTCAAGTACCCTTTACCTTGCTGTATGCTGAGCAGAGTTACTGGGTTTCCTCTCTCTTCTTTCAGATACAGTATATTGACAGACAGACAGACTCTAGATTCCATTGCTCATTTAATTGACGGAGAGGATGAATTGAACAAAGACAGGCAGACAGACAGACAGAGACAGACTGCACAGAGCATTGGGCCTTGTACCCTACATTGCAACGTTCACTGAATTGACAGAAAGGAAGACAAGCTGACAGTCAGGAAGGGAGGTGCATCCTTGTTGCAATGCACTCTCCGAGTCTGATTCATGGAGTACCATTCACTTATTGGACTACCAGGCACTTAAGTCTAACTCATGCTACTCAACAACCTAGCAACCACACCAAAAAACAAAATCAGCCAACCAACCAAATAAAACAAAAACACTTGGTATTTACAAGGCAGACAGGACAGGAGTGGGTCAGTGTCTCTCAGTTTAAGTCTTACACACTAATGAGTCAACCTATTAACTACCAATTAGTCCATTACCTGGAATACCATCTAATTGACTCTTGTTAATGGGACTTATTGGTTTTAGTGAGAGCACACCCAGTGGGTCTCCAACATCGTAGTCACCCATCCCTGACCTAGTCCTAGGTCATTGGGTGATTGGCACATTAAGACGGGACCTACTTGATGAAGTCTCCATACTCCATCCAGAAGACGCCCTCGCTGCTGCCGTGGGCCATGAGCTCATGGCGGAGGAGCTGCGGCCAATCAGGCCACTCGTCTGACCAGCTGCCGTTCCACGAGAAGCGACCCCATGGGTTCCTCAACCGCAGAAGTCTGAAAGGGAGAGAGAGAGCATGTCGTTAGCAGAAGCAATTAAAAGGAATGCAATTGGGACTGAAAAACGGAAGGACTCTCATCAGGGTTTGATAAGGTTCTTACAACTACCCGTGGTAAAAACGGAAAGGATACAATGACGGGATTTCCGAAAAAGAAAGATACATGGCCCTTTTCACCAAAAACTTATTAGCCACACTCCCTCCGACTAATAACCCAATCAGCTCTCACCTGTAGCCCTGTACGTCCCGTACATCCAGGATAGAGTAAGCATGGCGAGGGCGGAGGCCCAACGACTCATACACCCCATCATCCACCTTCATGTTCCCTCCTCCGCATGATGCCCCCATCAGAAACCTATGGCAAAATGGCAAAATGTGTAGAATTGCAGGAAATTGCTTTAAAACCGCGAATTCTTCTCTAATGAGCGGCAGTATGGATGTGGGTACGCAGACCCACGAGCCACTGCGGCCCCTCACGATGAGTTGTTTTTTTGTGGCCCCCACATCAAAGTTGCCCATGATGAGTTCCGAGTAATTACTTCTTCCCTTGTCCCATTTGTGCATATCATGTTACATCTTCAGAGAATAATTGACTTTCTCCAAAGAAAAACCTCCTCTGTTCCACGCACCCGGCCTCCTTGGAGCTGAGCATCTTGGCCCAGATGAGGTCCGTGTCGATGCTCTCCTCGCGGGGGTTGGTGGAGCTGACCTGCAGCATGAGGGAGTCACACGGCGCCCCTGTCAGCGTGGCCAGGCCCTCGATGGCGCGCCCCGCCTGCAGGGCAAAGTAGGAGCCGTGGAGCTTGGCAAGGGCCTTCTCTATCAGGGCCACCCAGAGTTGCTTACGCTGGGCCTGGAAAGAAAGAAAGAAAGAAAGAAAGAAAGAAAGAAAGAAAGAAAGAAAGAAAGAAAGAAAGAAAGAAAGAAAGAAAGAAAGAAAGAAAGAAAGAAAGAAAGAAAGAAAGAAAGAAAGAAAGAAAGAAAGAAAGAAAGAAAGAAAGAGAAGAGGGGAGGGGAGGGATACTGTGGGATTATTTAAGATACTCATTGAAGAGGTTTCCCCTCTCTTTGTTATTTCCTCTATGACATTTCTGAGAACCTCTGTCTCCACTAGGGCTGTGGAGGTCACGAAATTTCGTCAGCCGGTGATTGTCAAGCAAATAACTGTCGGTCTCACGGTAATTGACCGTTTAGTATCTCCAGGCTTCCACACATAGCCTACAAGCCATTTTAAAAAGCCTAATAAATCCATGTAATATAGCCTACACCGTCACAATAAAGCCATTATTTATTCTAGACAGGTCTAAAGAAGCATGATATGAAGAAAATGTAGTTTATTTCAGAAGAAAAGAATAGCATGTTCTTCTACCAAATTCTTTTTTAATCTTCAACATAGGAATGCTATCAAAAAGAACTTAATGAAACTGGTTACAATTGACAGAGTCACCCATAATTCACCAAATTATATTTTGAAGGAAGAAACAAAGTACTTTAAGCATATGTTTTCGTTTCAGTCGCCTCCATCTCCTCTAACTGAAGCTAATTGTAGAGATTTTTTTTCTATTGATAATGTCAAATTAACAGCCACACAGAAAGACTCATGTGAAGGTGAAATTACAGAGGAGGAACTTCTGGATGCAATTAAAGACTTTAAGTCCGGGAAAACTCCAGGGTTGGATGGCATACCAATCGAGGTATACCAAACCTTTTTTGATATACTAAGAGGACCGTTATTAGCATGTTTTAACCACTCCTATGTAAATGGTAGATTATCTGACACTCAAGAAGAAGGTCTGATCTCATTATTACTGAAACAGGATACAAGTGGAAAATATAAAGATCCAGTCCATTTTCAAAATTGGAGGCCCCTTACACTTCAGTGTTGTGATGCAAAAATCCTAGCAAAATGTATAGCGCATAGAATTAAAAAGGTATTGTCGGATATTATTCATTCTAATCAGACAGGTTTTTTACATGGAAGATACTTTGAAGATAATATAAGGCAAGTATTGGAAACAATAGAACACTATGGAAAATATGGGAAACCAGGCCTGCTATTCATAGCAGACTTCGAAAAGGCATTTGATAAAATTCGACTGGGGTTTATATATAAATGCCTGGAGCATTTCAATTTTGGAGAATCTCTTATAAAATGGGTCAAAATCATGTATAGTAACCCTAGGTGTAAAATAGTAAATAATGGCTATTTCTCAGAAAGTTTTAAACTGTCAAGAGGAGTGAAACAAGGTTGTCCACTATCGGCATATCTATTTATTGTGGCCATCGAGATGTTAGCTATTAAAATCAGATCCAATAATAATATCAGAGGATTAGAAATACAGGGCTTAAAAACAAAGGTGTCATTGTACGCTGATGATTCATGTTTTCTTTTAAATCCACAACTAGAATCCCTCCACAGCCTCATAGAGGATCTAGATACATTTTCTAACCTCTCTGGATTACAACCAAATTATGACAAATGTACTATATTACGTATTGGATCACTAAAAAATACAATTTTTACATTACCATGTAGTTTACCAATAAAATGGTCTGATGGTGATGTGGATACTCGGAATACATATCCCAAAGGAAATAAATGATCTCACTTCAATAAATGTTAATAGAAAGTTAGCAAAAATAGATAAGATCTTACTACCATGGAAAGGAAAATACCTGTCAATTTGTGGAAAACCCCCCCTGATTAACTCTTCAGTATTATCCCAGTTTACCTATTTGCTTATGGTCTTGCCTACGCCTAGCGAACAGTTATTTTTTTATTATATGAGAAAAAAATATTCAATTTTATTTGGAACGGCAAGCCAGACAAAATTAAAAGGGCATATTTATATAATGAATATGAATTTGGAGGACAGAAATTATTAAATATTAAAGCATTAGACCTATCACTAAAAGCTTCAGTCATACAAAAGTTATACTTAAACCCGAACTGGTTCTCAAGCAAATTAGTAAGATTGTCTCACCCAATGTTCAAGAAAGGCCTTTTTCCCTTTATTCAGATTACAACAACTCATTTGCAGTTATTTGAAAATATCACTATTTCTAAAACAAGCCATAGAAAGTTGGTTGCAATTTCAATTTAATCCTCCAGAAACGGCAGAACAAATAATGCAACAAATATTGTGGTTAAATTCAAATATACAAATTGACAAAAAAAACTTTATTTTTTGACAGAATGTTTAAAAAAGGTATAATCTTCGTAAATGATATCATCGGTAGGACTGGTGGAGTTATGTCGCACATGCAGCTAACAAAAACATATGGAAATGTCTGCTCTACCCAAAATTACAACCAAATAATTGCAGCCTTACCGTAAAAGTGGAAGAGGAAAGTGGAAGGGGGAGAAAGTAAGGAACTTGTCTGTCGGCCTTGCATTAAAGAACATAATTGGTTAAGGAAAACTGTGATAAATAAAAAAGTATATCAGTTTCACTTAAGGACGAAAGGATTGACAGCCGTCCCATATAGATTGCAAAATAGTTGGGAAGAGATCTTTGACGTACCGATCCCATGGCATAGTGTTTATGAACTGACACGCAAAACGACACCGGATTCAAAAATTTGAATCTTTCAATTTAAATTATTATATACAATTCTTGCTACCAATATAATGTTATTTACAGTGGGGAGAACAAGTATTTGATACACTGCCGATTTTGCAGGTTTTCCTACTTACAAAGCATGTAGAGGTCTGTAATTTTTATCATAGGTACACTTCAACTGTTAGAGACAGAATCCAGAAAATCACATTGTATGATTTTTAAGTAATTAATTTGCAATTCCTTCGACCTCATGGCTTGGTTTTTGCTCTGACATGTACTGTCAACTGTTGGACCTTATATAGACAGATGTGTACCTTTCCAAATCATGTCCAATCAATTGAATTTACCACAGGTGGATTCCAATCAAGTTGTAGAAATATCTCAAGGATGATCAATTGAAACAGGATGCACCTGTGCTCAATTTCGTGTCTCATAGCAAAGGGTCTGAATACTTATGTAAATAAGGTATTTCTGTTTTAAATTTTTTATAAATTTGCAAAAGTGTCCATACACCTGTTTTCACTTTGTCATTATGGGGTATTGTGTGTAGATAGCTGAGGATTTTTTTTTGTATGTAATCCATTTTAGAATAAGGATGTAACGTAACAAAATGTGGAAAAAGTTAAGGGGTCTGAATATTTTCCAAAGGCACTGTATATACTCCGGACTCCGACATTGCTCGTCCTAATATTTATATATTTCTTAATTCCATTCTTTTACTTTTAGATTTGTGTGTATTCTTGTGAATTGTTAGATATTACTGCACTGTTGGAGTTCGGAACACAAGCATTTCGCTATACCCAAAATCTGCTAAATATGTGTATGCGACCAATAAAATGTGATTTGATTCAATTTGTTTAACTTCCAAGGAACCAAATATGCTACCTGCGAAGGTTTTTGGAACCTCACTAATTTGACTGGTAAACTCATGGGTATGCTCAAAATGGCTGTCAGTCCTGACTGGGCACTTTCGTTCTAGGGATTCTATTTCTATGGATTATATTTCTCTTCTTGCTGTCAGTGCATAGTTAAAGGTCTTTTGCAAATTTCAAAACACAATCGCAGAAAATATGTTTGGAAAGCAAATGGCTACTGCTGAAAAGGGAAGACTAATTAATCTGTAAAAGCTACCATTTTCACAACAACTTGGACACACAGCACTGTTTTTCAAAGTAGCTCAGGCCTATCTTGAGACCATCACCGGTATGGTGAGAAGCCTAGGCTACGCATATTCATGCTATCTTCATCATTGGGTGAGTCAGTGCCACTGGACGGTTGATCTAGTAGCCTACTGTAGCCTATAATATTTATATATTTCCTCCTAATATAGTGCAATCTGTGTGTCTCCCTTCTTTTTATTGGCCCTGGGCCAGGTCAAGACCAAGGCCCGGTTTCCCAAAAGCATCTTAAGGCTAAGTTAATCTTAGAACCATAGGATCCTATGGATCTCTGTAACAATGAACTTAGTCTAAGATGCTTTTGGGAAACCGGGCCCAGGTCGTTTTTATATATCTGTTTGACAGTGTCAGAGCAGCCACTCATTTTGGTCATTTGTGTAGTATTAAAACATACTCTGATAATGTCTCCTTTTTTTTTTTTTTTTTTACATGGACGAGTAAACTTTCTTCTTCAAATCACCACCCCTGAATCAGGATTGGGCAAAGGTGGTGCTTAAACTGGTGGTGGGGATCTGAAGCAGAAAGTTATCTCGTCCATGTTTAAAAAACATACGGATGAGCTAGATAAGAAGCTGAGATTTTAGTTCCGTGTTAACCGAGATTAGGCACATGTTATGCACAACCAGGATGAGTAAACCACATGTTCTAACCATACCATGTTGCTTATAAAAAAGGTCCCCCTCATGCTACGGTATGAAAACATCATGATAAGGAGATACAGTACGTCAATAGAGTAGATTGAGGTCCTGGCTATAGCAGCCTCATGTGTGGTTTTAGTGTGGCCCCAGGGCAGGTGGTGGCTGGAGGACAGGGGGCCATTAGAGAAAAGGTAAATCTAATCACCATTCTGTAGAGTGACAGGGCTTTGTGTCACTGCTGGAGGAAACACTAACCACTGCGTCAATACAGTGCTCCTCTGACCTCAGCACAGTGTTGTGTAATTTAAAAAACCTGAGAGCAAATCTGTCTTAAAAATAAGACGTTTTTATTTTTTATTTTTTAAACAGCAGGTCAAACAGCAGGCCTCCTGTAGCTCAGTTGGTAGAGCATGGCGCTTGCAACGCCAGTGTTGTGGGTTCGATTCCCACGGGGGGCCAGTATGAAAAATGTATGCACTCACTAACTGTAAGTCGCTCTGGATAAGAGCGTCTGCTAAATGACTAAAATGTAAATGTAAATGTAATTAGGGTCAGGTAGTTGCTGACTGTGTCTAAAAGACAATTGGGACCTGGTGGATAGTTTTAAAGGTAAGTGTTTTAGTAGCATATTAGTCTATTCAAAGTGTTTTGTGAAAATGTATTCTTAAAGAGGTCGTGTTGTATACAGTGGCATGCGAAAGTATTCAACCCCCTTGGCATTTTTCCTATTTTGTTGCCTTACAACCTGGAATTAAAATAGATTTTTTGGAGGTTTGTATCATTTGATTTACACAACATGCCTACCACTTTGAAGATGCAAAATATTTTTTGTTGTGAAACAAACAAGAAATAAGACGAAATCAATACTTTGTAGAGCCAACTTTTGCAGCAATTACAGCTGCAAGTCTCTTGGGGTATGTCTCTATAAGCTTGGCACATCTAGCCACTTGGATTTTTGCCCTTTCTTCAAGGCAAAACTGCTCCAGCTCCTTCAAGATGGATGGGTTCCGCTGGTGTACATCAATCTTTAAGTCATACCACAGATTCTCAATTGCATTGAGGTCTGGGCTTTGACTAGGCCATTCCATGACATTTAAATGTTTCCCCTTAAACCACTCAAGTGTTGCTTTAGCAGTATGCTTAGGGTCATTGTTCTGCTGGAAGGTGAACTTCCTTCCCAGTCTCAAATCTCTGGAAGACAAACAGGTTTCCCTCAAGAATTTCCCTGTATTTAGTGCCATCCATCATTCCTTCAATTCTGACCAGTTTCCCAGTCCCTGCAGATGAAAAACATCCACACAGCATGATGCTGCTACCACCATGCTTCACTGTGGGGATGGTGTTCTCGGGATGATGAGAGGTGTTGGGTTTGTGCCAGACATAGCGTTTTCCTTGATGGCCAAAAAGCTAAATTTTAGTCTCATCTGACCGGGGTACCTTCTTCCATATGTTTGGGGAGTCTCCCACATACCTTTTGGCGAACACCAAACGTGTTTGCTTATTTTTTTCTTTAAGCAATGGCTTTTTTCTGGCCACTCTTCCGTAAAGCCCAGCTCTGTGGAGTGTACGGCTTAAAGTGGTCCTATGGACAGATACTCCAATCTCTGCTGTGGAGCTTTGCAGCTCCTTCAGGGTTATCTTTGGTCTCTTTGTTGCCTCTCTGATTAATGCCCTCCTTGCCTGGTCCGTGAGTTTTGGTGGGCTGCCCTCTCTTGGCAGGTTTGTTGTGGTGCCATATTCTTTCCATTTTTTAATAATGGATTTAATGGTGCTCCGTGGGATGTTCAAAGTTTCAGATATTTTTTTTATAACCCAACCCTGATCTGTACTTCTCCACAACTTTGTCCCTGACCTGTTTGGAGAGCTCCCTGGTCTTCATGGTGCCGCTTGCTTGGTGGTGTCCCTTGCTTAGTGGTGTTGCAGACTCTGGGGCCTTTCAGAACAGGTGTACAGTGAGGGAAAAAAGTATTTGATCCCCTGCTGATTTTGTATGTTTGCCCACTGACAAAGACATGATTAGTCTATAATTTTAATGGTAGGTGTATTTGAACAGTGAGAGACAGAATAACAACAACAAAATCCAGAAAAACGCATGTCAAAAATTTTAGAAATTGATTTGCATTTTAATGAGGGAAATAAGTAGCCACGGTGTGGCGGTAATACAGTCACCGCAACAGCCCTAGTCTCCACCACAGCCTTGGAATGAACTGAATGAGTGTGTGCATATGTGTTTACTCACCAGTTGGAATATCAGGTTGCTATATTCACTGCATAACAGTGTGCGTGTGTATGACTAATGACGGTGTTTGAAAATCTGTATATACGCATGAATGTATGTGAGTTTGAGAGAGAAAGACAGAGAGAGTGAGTGACTAGGCTAGATATAGTTCTGTGTGTGTGTATAAAGTGAGTCTTCGAGCATACTATATCCGTACGCATGAGTGTGTGTGGTGTCCCCCCCCCCCCCCCCCCCTCACCTGGGAGAAGAGCAGGTATCCATTCTCGTCGCAGGGCAGCATGTCGTCCACTAGGACGGTTATCCAGGTACCATCCTTACACAGCCTGACCTGGTAAGCCCCCTCCTGGCAGATGCCCCTGGTGATCATCACCCTCTCCACCAGCTCTGGACGCTCTGCCAGCACCGCCAACGCACTAAGGAACCTACAGGGAGGGCAATAAGATAGACAGTGAATTAGTCAATCAATTAGTGATGGGGGGGGGGGGGGGGGGGGGGATCTATACAGTAGAGTATCGCAATATTATTTCTTACGATATTATAAATCGATTATATGACTCCAGTTAATGTTAACAAGCACCAGTCGGCTGTACCTGCGCCAATATTTCTCCTTCTATAGCTTGTTCTCCATCTTTTTAAAATGGTGAGCCAACATGTTTTCAGCACTTTTCTTTTCATGACTGATCAAAACATATTTTCTCATGGCTCTCTCTTGTCTCTCTGCAGCAGACATATAGTGAGCAATATGTTTGGAACATTGAATCGCATTAAAATCGCAGTTTCGAATTGCAATACGTATATAAATCGGAACGTACAGTGAGGGAAAAAAGTATTTGATCCCCTGCTGATTTTGTATGTTTGCCCACTGACAAAGAAATGATCAGTCTATAATTTTAATGGTAGGTTTATTTGAACAGTGAGAGATAGAATAACAACAAAGAAATCTAGAAAAACGCATGTCAAAAATGTTATAAATTGATTTTCATTTTAATGAGGGAAATAAGTATTTGACCCCTCTGCAAAACATGACTTAGTACTTGGTGGCAAAACCCTTGTTGGCAATCACAGAGGTCAGACGTTTCTTGTAGTTGGCCACCAGGTTTGCACACATCTCAGGAGGGATTTTGTCCCACTCCTCTTTGCAGATCTTCTCCAAGTCATTAAAGTTTCTAGGCTGACGTTTGGCAACTCGAACCTTCAGCACCCTCCACAGATTTTCAATGGGATTAAAGTCTGGAGACTGGCTAGGCCCCTCCAGGACCTTAATGTGCTTCTTCTTGAGCCACTCCTTTGTTGCCTTGGCCGTGTGTTTTGGGTCATTGTCATGCTGGAATACCCATCCACGACCCATTTTCAATGCCCTGGCTGAGGGAAGGAGGTTCTCACCCAAGATTTGACGTGGCCCCGTCCATCGTCCCTTTGATGCGGTGAAGTTGTCCTGTCCCCTTAGCAGAAAAACACCCCCAAATGTGCATAATGTTTCCACCTCCATGTTTGACGGTGGGGATGGTGTTCTTGGGGTCATAGGCAGCATTCCTCCAAACACGGCGAGTTGAGTTGATGCCAAAGAGCTCCATTTTGGTCTCATCTGACCACAACACTTTCAACCAGTTCTCCTCTGAATCATTCAGTTGTTCATTGGCAAACTTCAGACGGGCATGTATATGTGCTTTCTTGAGCAGGGGGACCTTGCGGGCGCTGCAGGATTTCAGTCCTTCACGGCGTAGTTTGTTACCAATTGTTTTTCTTGGTGACTATGGTCCCAGCTGCCTTGAGATCATTGACAAGATCCTCCTGTGTAGTTCTGGGCTGATTCCTCACCATTCTCATGATCATTGCAACTCCACGAGGTGAGATCTTGCATGGAGCCCCAGGCCGAGGGAGCTTGACAGTTATTTTGTGTTTCTTCCATTTGCGAATAATCGCACCAACTGTTGTCACCTTCTCACCAAGCTGCTTGGCGATGGTCTTGTAGCCCATTCCAGCCTTGTGTAGGTCTACAATCTTGTCCCTGACATCCTTGGAGAGCTCTTTGGTCTTGGCCATGGTGGAGAGTTTGGAATCTGATTGATTGATTGCTTTAGTGGACAGGCGTCTTTTATACAGGTAACAAGCTGAGATTAGGCACACTCCATTTAAGAGTGTGCTCCTAATCTCAGCTCGTTACCTGTATAAAAGACACCTGGGAGCCAGAAATCTTTCTGATTGAGAGGGGGTCAAATTCTTATTTCCCTCATTAAAATGCAAATCAATTTATAAAATGTTTGACATGCGTTTTTCTGGATTTCTTTGTTGTTATTCTGTCTATCACTGTTCAAATTAACCTACCATTAAAATTATAGATTGATGATTTCTTTGTCAGTGGGCAAACGTACAAAATCAGCTTGGGATCAAATACTTTTTTCCCTCACTGTATATATTCGCAATACATATCATGTCGTGATAATATTGTATGGCGAGGTCCCAGGCAAAATCCCAGCCCTACAATCAATCAATCAGTCATTCAGTAAGTCAATTATTCAATTAATCAGTCAGAAAGTTAATAAATATCAAGTAATTCATCGCATTTTATTCATACAAATTTGTAGTGGAGGTAAGCTGGTCATAGCTTCTGTACATCACCTTTCCTGAGACCTGACGTGACAGAACCACTGACCTTTTATGGTCTAGTCATGTGGTACTGATGGTGGACTTAACGCCAGAAAAAACTCCACATGTAGGAAGACAACATTCTGAGGAAGCAGACTCTAAAGGGAGGTTAGGGGATGCAGAAGATCTCTTTACAAATCTCTCTTTCCTAGTGCAAAGCTCCATTTATTTGAGGCCTTTCTCAACAAGCACTGACCTCTTGAGATGTGTGTGTGTGTGTGTGTGTTTGTGTCCGAGTGTGTGTGCGAGTGTGTGTGGGAGTGTGTGTGCGTGAGCATGTGCGCATGCGTTCGTGTGTTCTCGAGATCTGTCTCAAGAGAGACGCTCTGCATGATTTTCTAGCATAATTTCAACGAGACATTTTCAATAATAACTCAATCCCCGTGTCTGCTCCGGCGCTACCGTTCCAGACAAGCAGGGCCAACCCCATGTAAATCAAATCAATGCAAATCAGATAAAATAATACAATCTAAATCCAATTACTTTGGGCGCAGCGACGAGAACGCTGGACTATGACAGGTTTCTAGCCTCTCCGGCCACTCAAGGGAGATAGGGGAGATGTGATCGTATGTGATTTGACATGTGGTTGCGTAGCTGGGGATGTGTAAATGGACTGTAAATGTGACTGGGGTTAGATTGAGGATGGGAATTGGGTTACTTCCTGTAGTGTGAGAGAAAGTGTGTGTGGAGGGGGCTCTGGGGAGGGTTCTTGTGTGTGTGTGTGTGTGTGTGTGTGTGTGTGTGTGTGTGTGTGTGTGTGTGTGTGTGTGTGTGTGTGTGTGTGTGTGTGTGTGTGTGTGTGTGTGTGTGTGTGCGTGTATATAGGGATGACGACACGGGCCCAAGGACACCCAAAACAAGGGCGTGGAGAAAACCATCTGTGTCCAGACCTACATTCCTCTGAATAATCCCCCAGTCAGGTGCTGTATCAGTACATCTGGCCGCCTCACCCCTCCTCTCTCTCTTTCTCGGTTCTCTCTCTCCGTCTCTATCTATATCTATCTATTTCTCTTTTAACCCTTGGCCTACACTGGTCGCGCCCCGGTGGAAATCTAAATAACACAAAAAAAAAGTCTTTTTAAACTAGAGATATGTGTTTTTTTTGTATTGGCTGCGTCTCAATCCACCACATCCACCGATATCGCCCCCTTGTGCATCTGCAGTGAAAGGTGGCAGAACTAAACCGGTGTTTGTCAGCCCATGAAAAATTCGGTCTTCTCACAGAAATGTCTGTAGCGTCAGTACGGTTTGGCCTACTATTATGACCACTCTATTGAAAGCTGACTCTTATGAACACGATGGTTTTGCTCTCCGTCTTTCTCTAGGACGCCCACAAGACTCATCTGAAGGTCCACGGTACCAATATATTTTTTTAAATGGAAGTATACAGTACCAGTCAAAAGTTTAGACAAACCTACTCATTCCAGGGTTTTTCTTTATTTTAATATTCTCTACATTGTAGAATAATAGTGAAGACATCAAAACTATGAAATAACACATATGGAATCATGTAGTAACCAAAAAAGTGTTAAACCAATCAAAATATATTTTATATTTGAGATTCTTCAAAGTAGCCATCCTTTGAAGCTTTGCACACTCTTGGCATTCTCTCAACCAGCTTCATGAGATAGTCACCTGGAATGCATTTCGATTAACAGGTGTGCCTTCTTAAAAGTTAATTTGTGGAATTTCTTTCCTTCTTAATGCGTTTGAGCCACTCAGTTGTGTTGTGACAAGGTGGGGGGGGGGGGGGGGGGGGGGTATACAGAAGATAGCCCTATTTGGTAAAAGACCAAATCCATATTATGGCAAGAACAGCTCAAATAAGTAAAGAGAAATGACAGTCCATCATTACTTTAAGACATGAAGGTCAGTAAATCCAGAGAATTTCAAGAACTTTGAAAGTTTCTTCAAGAGCAGTCGGAAAAACCATCAAGCGCTATGATGAAACTGGCTCTCATGAGGACCGCCACAGGAATGGAAGACCCAGAGTTACCTCTGCTGCAGAGGATATATTCATTAGTTACCAGCCTCAGAAATTGCCGCCCAAATAAATGCTTCACAGAGTTCAAGTAACAGATGCATCTCAACATCAACTGTTCAGAGGGGACTGTGTGAATCAGGCCTTCATGGTTGAATTGCTGCAAAGAAACCACTACTAAAGGAGAGTAATAATAAGAAGAGACTTGCTTGGGCCAAGAAACACGAGCAATGGACATTAGACCGGTGTAAATTTGTCATTTGGTCTGGAGTCCAAATTTGCGATTTTTGGTTCCAACCGCTGTGTCTTTGTGAGACGCAGAGTAGGTGAACGGCTGATCTCCGCATATGTGGTTCCCACCGTGAAGCATGGAGGAGGAGGTGTGATGGTGCTCTGCTGGTGACATTGTCGTTGATTTTTGAATTCAAGGCAAACTTAATCAGCATGGCTACCACAGCATTCTGCAATGATACACCATCCCATCAGGTTTGCGCTGAGTGGGACTATCATTTGTTTTCCAATAGGACAATGACACAACACACCTCCAGGCTGTGTAAGGGCTATTTGACCAAGAAGGAGAGTGATGGAGTGCTGCATCAGATTACCTGGCCTCCACAATCACCCGACCTCAACCCAATTGAGATGGTTTGGGATGAGATGGACCGCAGAGTGAAGGAAAAGAATTCCAAGACTGTGCAAAGCTGTCATCAAGGCAAAGGGTGGCTACTTTGAAGAATCTCAAATATAAAATATATTGTTTAACACTTTTTTGGTTACTACATGATTCCATATGTATTATTTCATAGTTTTGATGTCTTCACTATTATTCTACAATGTAGAAAATAGTACAAATAAAGAAAAACCCTTGAATGAGTAGGCGTGTCCAAACTTTTGACTGGTACTGTATATGGAGATAGTTTAGTGCCTAAAATAAGGGGATAAATACATGTAAAACATGTATAGGATAGACACTTCAGATCAAACTTCCTTTAGATTTTTTTGGGGACTATCTGTTGTTCCATGTAGTGAATCTTTTAGTCAATGCGTTTCTATTGCCAAATTCAATGTTTCATCCCAAAAAAATACCTTAAATTAAAATATTCAATCAAATAGCTAAATGATCCTTGGTATGACCATCTTAAAACAACCCACACAACATGGCTTAGACAGGGCTTAGACTCTAGAGGGTTAAACTCCCTCTTTCCCTCTCCCTCATTCCTCTCTCTCCCCCTCCCTCCTTCTCTATCTGCTTTAGGCCCAGAGAGTACATCTATAGTCACTGCTCAATGATAAACTACACGGGCCACCAGTGTGCTTGTTCATTCTCGCTGTTATTCACCCTGACCTTTAAGAAAGAGCGATGAGAGATCACCTCTCACATGTAGAGTGGAGTTGGTTTATTCATTCAGAAATACATTAGGAATAGTCCAGGGAGGACGGAGACAAACACTGTGTCTAAGAAGCACAGCAAGCACACTGAACACACACGCCACGAGGATACACTTCTACACACAAGCCACAGACACACAAGCATGCACACACGCTGCTTAAGGTAGGTTGCACACGGTTTTGTACCCACACAGACACATGCACGCGGACGCACGCACACATAGTTGAGCTACATATACTACGAAAATGCACACGTTCAGTGACGACAACTCACCAACAGTTTCCCAGCAGGCCTTGCAGGATGTCCGAGGGCCGCGGGGTGCGGAAGACGGACCATTTGACGCCCCGGTCCTTGAAGTTGTTGCAGTTGATCTCGTGGGGGCGGAGCCACTTTTTGATTCGCTGCTGGACGCTGTCACCCTCGGGGAAGCCCACGGAGCACGGGCCTGGGGGGAAGCTGTCGTCCACGAAGTTCACCACGTTCTAAAAGAAAGAGAGATATAAAACTCTGAGACAGAGGATTCACAACAGTCCAGCTGATGAAGTAAGTTACTGCCCTGCGAACACGCATGAGACATTTGCTTGGCGAGGAGAAGGCTGAACAAGTGTAACATCATATCGGCATCAAGACTAGTCGAGACAAGACTAAGTCACCACACAGAGAAAACACGTATGCTGGCTGCACTCTGGAAATCCCATAATATATTTTAAATACAGTATGAGTAAACTAACAACACATCAAATAGCCCTAAACATGACACTGTCAGGGATCTAAGGTTAGACATATAAACCATTATAGACCCTAGCCTACATTTTTCTGTCTGATGTTTGTGTTAAATGGATGATGATTACATTTGGAGCCCTGCAGGCCACTGTAGGAGTCACAGGATGCTGAGATGTGACAACCACCGGCACTGAATGTTCATGTGGCTAAAGGAGCCTCCCCCTGCTGCTAATACATTAAGATGCACACGCAGCATGGAATGTGCTGTGCCAACACACATCAAAACACATCTTCCGAGATCAAGAAGACGGCACACTGAACTACACACGGACTTGCACTCCCCGTGAAGCACTTTCAAGCGTTCACTTAGGCTAAACATTGTTTCTTTGAAACACACAATTGAGATAAGCTGCTAAAAATGTCTACTTCAACATAAACGTAACTGATCCCTGTTCAACAAAACAGTTTGCATTTAGGCTAACTGACCTACTATGTGACACACAATGTCACTGCCAAAACCTCGCTCGACAAACCCGAGAGCACACATACAAAGACTAGCCTATCCTATTTCCTCTGCTCACTTGTGGCAGCATTTGGATCCCGCATCCTGAACCAGTGGAAAGTACTGTAAGCACCCACGGCGTCGCGCAGTCGGTGGAGGAAAATGGATTCGTCACCCTACACAAAAGCCACTTCTGTCACCCTCGACACTGTGCCAGACAGCGGCAGCAGCACTTTGGCCCCTGCCCCCGTTTCCCATCATGCTCCAGCAGATTTAGCCCCCCCCCGGGGGCCGTCAGTGACTCTGTAGTTCAGAGGTATAAACCGCCTGGTTTGCTTCACAGCAGTTGGGAGAGCTTTCAGCTTTGGCCCTACGGACCTGCAAGTAGAGAGAAAGGCCTTTTTTCCTTTAGTCCCAAAAACCACTCGCCGACAGCTCAGGACCTCACAAAGACGCTAGCGTATAAGAAATAGGATAAACATATATGTGGAGCGTGTCCACTTTCTGCACACGTCGAAATCAAAGGCAAACGAGGACGAAGCACGAGTCATCATGACACGTGTAGAAATAGGACAGACCGCCACAGCGAGCCAGACAGACACGACACAAACAGTCACATGCAGCGTTAGTGTCCCTTCAGCTATTCTCGCCATGGCCAGCTGTTTGAGGCCTGTTGTGAGGGTGACAGTGCAACACAGTGCTGGTCTGACTGACTGTCTCCGATGGAACTGTGGCTGGGCCAATGCCTGAGAGCACTCTAGTGCATTCACAGTCACAGTTCGTGGCTAGGCTATTCCGGCTAACAAAACAAACAGCACTCCAGCTGTCTTAGTCTCTATAGAAACCTGAATCAATACTGGGACGTTTGAATGTGGAGAGGGAGTGACTGGCACTCACTGAAACCCAGTTCGACGCTACAGTCAACCTATTGATCGTGGTAACAGTAGCGATGGATAGCTATTGAGCCGACGTGACAGTGGCACAGTTATTGAACTGCCATCACATAAAAACAGCACTGATAATGCCGTCATTTACAGTGGCTTATTGTAAAACACGTGCCGCTATGGCCAGTTAAATCATGTGGCGGTTGACATTTGTCCAAGTGGAAAGTGGAGGTTTGCCTGTCGCTGTTGCTTTCAGTTAAAATCCTCACATGTGACATGAGGCATTCTTTGTGAGTTGTGCTGTTATATAGCCTCTGCTATTTAATGGAAAATAGAAGGGACAAGAGGAACATATGATGTTGTCAACAGGAAACAATCAATATGTTCAGTGTACTCTGCATGCTCCAAAAGAGAATTCATTTTTGGTGGCAGCCAAGAAACAATGTTTTCACCACACAGGGCTTTACAGGTTAGAAAGAATGCCAACATGCCTCAGTGTCGTTCCCCAGTCTTACATCGTAAAGTGGATGGGCACACTTGGGGCTATTTCTTTATTGCTTAAAACCTCAAGTAGCAGACCATGGAGGGACATTGTCTATGTGGATTGTTGCCTTTGTCCTTATACTTCCTAAATACCATCTTTGCTCCACTCTCATATAGCTTCCGTTCTTAATTTCCTTGTCTGTGACTGAAATGGCTAGACAAGAGATATGTCTCCACAACATTGTAGTAATCTAAGCTCTCGTCTTTGACCCAGAAGGCCACATCAGGAAATCCAAGGCTAACTCTTACATTCTGTAGCTATAGAGTGGCTTTGGAGTGGTCTGTGCCACTCTGTGCATGCCAACTCTGAGTGGTAGCCATATCGTTTATTTACCGGAGGAGGTATTTTAGCATCTCGTGTTAGGCTGAGGCAGTCATGAGGCACCCTGGGGGAGATAGATGCACTGCCTAGCCGACTTCACCCTCCATAAACTGAGATGTGCCGCTCGATGCTCCCGCTGATTATTTTCGCTTTAGGGAAGTGGATTATTGCTGCTACTCTACTCCCCCGTTTCTAAAAATAGAATGGCCCGTGTTCACCTTAGCGTGCACATGGGTAGCGCCACAGCCACAAAGGAAAGGGGGGGAGTTATGGGAGCAAGGGATGAGAAAGAAGGTATGAAGGGATACATTTAGCCTAATTGTTCCAGAGGAAGAGAGGCTCTCTCTAACATCCTTCCTCTATAGCCTGCTTCCCACACACGCTCCCAAAGGTGAACCCGCAACTCGCAGAGCAGCATTTGACTTGAATAATGCAAGGTAGAGCCGACGTTGTGCCATTATAAACATGACACGATACCGTCCACATGGAATGAAATGCACGTGTGAGCGACTATGTTGCTCTATCAGTTTTAATTTAAAAATTATGTTGCTAATACATGTGACGATTTAGGCCTAGGTAAACTGGTAAACACTTCATGCCCACATTCATGATGGAATTCTGTGGCCTTTTTCAATGCCGATGCGATGGGGTCGAGATCAAAAGTGAGCTAGCAACAGATGCTGCCGTCTTCCTTCTCCCCCTCTTTTGTGAGGAGTCATTCCATGTCATTTACATTTGACATTTTAGTCATTTAGCAGACACTCTTATCCAGAGCGACTTACAGATAGTGAGTGCATACATTTTCATACTGGCCCCCCGTGGGAATCGAACCCACAACCCTGGCGTTGCAAGTGCCATGCTCTACCAACTGAGCTACACAGGACTACAAAGTTGTCTTTTTTAGTGATCCAATTGACATTTTAGTCATTTAGCAGACACTCTTATCCAGAGCGACTTACAATTAGTGAGTGCATACATTTTTCATACTGGCACCCATGACACACACCATCTCAGATTGTTCTGAAATCGTTTCTGTAGTTAGAAATAGATAAGATTAGCATTCCTACATTATTTTGTTGAAATATAATTTGATCTCGGAGAAATTAAGCTAATTGATTGCACCCAAATGTTGCATTTTAATTTATAGGATTCATATAATATTCAAAAAATATAGTACCTGACATTCGATTTGGACCAAACTTTTATTTAACACTAGCTAGGTTTCCATCGAAATGGCGATATACTTTCATGTGAATATAATAAAATCTGCATAAAGAAAACATTTCCACCAAACGGACTTGTTGCGGATAAAAATCAGTGTGTGATGACATAGTCCACACAAAATGTAATTTTTCGCTTAAATTCTCATGTACCAAATAAAAATCTAAAGTTCATTTTGTTTCCATCGCATTTTCAACTCTACCGATAGTTTTGTCATAAAAACTGTTGCGTTAAATAGCAAATGTGCCTACTCTGGTCTTGGCACGTGCGCTCTAGCCAACAGCTGGCAGATACAGTGCAGGAAGGTTGTGGGGGTTGGCTAGTCTACATGAGATTATTATGGATAAGAGCGAGAATATTTTTATTTGTCAAATGGCAGTCAATATCGATCATCATGTCACCAGAATCAGACACTCGATATTTATTGGAAAGGAGCATCAAGATCACCGTGCACTTTCACCACCTTGTGAAGTTCATAAGTTAATATTTCATCTGTAGCCGAATAAACACTGCAATAAACTGCATGGTTTCCCGAGTCGTAGTGGGAGGATCACACACCACATCGTCACGTGACTCCAAGTTTACATTGATATGATGGTTATTATATCCATATTTGCGCATAAAGGCGTTTCCACAATAATTTCTAGCATAATACATTTTACCAACACAAAAAGATCCCACCATGTCGAACAAACAAATTATCTGTCAGCATTTATAAAATTGTACTGAAACTTCCATCACAACAGTCTTGATTTTTTTTTATACAGTGTGACTTTACAGCAATAAAAACTGTGGATGGAAACGTGGTTAGTGAGTAAGACAAGAGGAATCCAAAGAAATCGTCAAAAGCCACCTACGGACCCCCCCCACCAAACCAGTTCTCTATGTCTAACAAATAGTATGGAGCTGCGGCTCTGAGTATTGTTTCTTCATCCTATGTAATGTATTCTCAGTGAATTTGGTGACAGGTTTTTTTCTCCTGTTCAGAGAAATTAGTCATTGAAGTTGTTAGGTTTATGTGCCATCCTACATCCTGATATTACCAGGTTCTGACCACTAGATGATGCTGTTCCTGCTATTAGGTGATTTTTTGAAAAATTATCTCCCCCTCCCCTCAATGTTCACCCAAATTACAAAATGCCAAATTGGTTTCCTTACCCTGTAAGCAGTTTATGGACCTGGTATGACAACAACCCATCCAAAGATGGTACCTATATTAGCATTTTCACGCTTCACATCCAAATCATCGATAAGTAACAATCTTTTTTGTTGTTGTTGATATTTTAG